TACCCGTAGGTACTTAGTTACATAAGGCAATTGTTATATAAACTTTATTTAATTTACCATAATTATGAAACAAGTTATTTCAACTTTTATTGATTACCTACTCTTCTTGGCATGGATATTAGCATAAAGGGGGGGGGGGGGGTGCTTATTGTTTGATGAAACCAGAGTATCCAGAGAAGGAGAAAACCCATATGGTTGGGCAGGTGACCTCGTACCTTTTCACGTCCGATCAGGAAATCAAACCCCGGCCGGCTTGGTGAAAGGCAGGTGTGCTATCCACTGCACCACCTGACCATCCAATAGGGCAATTGTTGAAAACTGGTTGTACAACCAACTGTTTTGGGAGTGAAAAACCTTCACTTGGGGTTTGATAGCCATGTAATGCTTAACATACTAAGGCTGGATGGATAGTTTGGGAATCTGGATACCAAACCTGTGCTATCAATCTAAGCACCAGTATAACAGGGAACAAAAGCCTTCTGGTATTCTTGGGCCAACCTCTGGTCCCATCCTTTAATGAATACCTACGCTAGGAAGTCGTCAAATATACTGTTGTGTACCAGGGCTAGGAATGTGCTCTGCCTCTCTGTTGATTTGTGTAAATAGATGCTAATTAACCACATATGTAAATGGGGTTTTAGATCAGATAACAGAAGAGGTATAAAGTTCCTGTATTAAGTTATTCCTGGACTCATTTTTACTATCACCCCTTACAATCCTTTCACTACATGCTATATTGCTTCAACTCTCGTCTTCTCAGCTTTTCTTCACCTGCTGGATAACCGAACTACTTGTAATTTAGAGTAACAAGTAAAAATTGACTAAAAACTTATTGATTTCAGTTTATATGTAGTCAAACCTCTATTAAGAGACCACTTGTAAAACTCCCTATAGCAGTTATTTTCATTTTGACTGATATTGTATAGGAGAGCACCTGTTTATGAGACCACTTAACTCAATCACCCCTGAAATATCATAATGAACTATTCCAACATTTGAATTGGAAGAGTTCATATGTGTCTTTAGGGGTGAATGAGTTAATGGAGTCCCCAAAGGTGGTCTCTGAATACAGGATTGAGGACTTTTGTATTTATCTATATTCCTATCCATGAGAAATCAGGTGATATTTTTAACAACTCAAGACCATTTTAGGATATCTATAACAAATCAGTATGAATCAGAATACTACAGCATCATTTGACTTCATCCTTATCATCAGATGTTGTATAGAAGATCTCCTTAGCCTTTCCTTTAAGCAGTACCCTAATCTAAACAGTATGTATGTGTAATGCACACTCATAGTAAAACCTACGTCAAGCACTCCCGCCCACACATATCTTCCTGTGGCACTGGCAGACAAAATTTCTGTTATTTCTCATTAAAACTCCAGATCTTGCCAATACCAACACCATTCCTACATTAGCTCTATTTTTTTACTTCTAAATAAGGATATTAACATCAAACATACACCTCTATACAAGTCTGTAATTGTCTTGCACCTCAGTGACCTTCATATGTAAACAAAACCAAATTCTGCTGATCATGCGATATAATAAGTAAAGGCTTCCTCCCAATCTATGGCTACAATTCTTAGATTCATTGTTTAAGTTAAATAATTTAACATTGAACACAGGCAGCAGACCCTATTAATAACTTGAACCTTAGTTTGGCCTTATTAATTCCACAATAATCAGAATTTTCATTAATTTTTATTAGAGCAGGCCAACTGATATTTTGTATATGTACTTTAGGAAAGGGAAATTAGAATAGGTCAGAAGCAAGACTAAAACAGTTATTTTTGTCTCCTGCCACATAATTTCTTAATGAAAACCTGCCAGTATATTAATTCCAATCATTGGCCAGCTGGTGAGTTGTAATTTGGCTTGTTGCGTTATAAATTAGTGAAGGTCTGATCAATAGACATTCTCTTCATTCAAGTTTCTCTGGCATGGAAACATGGAAAAGTGATGTGTTATGCCTTTTAAAAAAGCCCCTGAAATGGCAAAATACCCAGATTTAGTAGATATTTTTTTAACCTTTCAAGGTCAATGTTTCGCACTTATAGACTTACAAAATATGCAGTTTCAACTCTCTATCCTTTTCATTTCAGAGAATTTTTCTTGTCCGTCGTATCAGAGTTTGGTTTGTTTATGTTTTACATCCTATTAGCAGCTATGGTCATTTAGGGATGTGTCAGGTTTTGGTGGTGGAGGAAAGCAGGAGTTCCTGGAGAAAAACCACTGACCTACGATAAGTACCTGGTGACTGGCCCTGACCTGGGTCTTTAACCCACGACCCAGTGGTTGATGGCTAGTGGTAGCAGAATATCAGACTTGGCCATCGTATCAGATACAATTCGTATCGTCTCAGAGGAGAGGTCTTTTATGTGATATTGTAGATAAACTGTTTGCGTGTACATACTGATCGAAATAAATATATTGCATTGTCCAAAAGTATGATTCTCATATCTTAGCCTCATCTTTAGCTATATCTATAGGCCATAAAAACCTACAACTGTATACTGTGTTCTAATATGCCATTGACCTTTACAACTACTTTCGCTAATACAAAAATTGTACAAAACTGACCCCTTTGGACCCCATCCCTCCATTTGCAGGAAGGTCAGCCCCTTAAAATTGAGCCCATAGGGCTTAGCTACGATTGTTACCACCACAATACTATTGAAACATGCCCAGTAGTTTTGGGTGAAAATGACACTGAAACTAAATCAACAAATTTGGAAAGAGATGTAACTTAAGGCCAATCTACCCAACTGATCCATGTTAACACTGCCTCTCAGCCTCAAGGAAGGTCAACCCCTTTATTTGTATAACATTTGATGTCCATGGGGCGAAGTTGCTACCATCAACACTTGGTTGAAACCTGCCGGACAGTTACATTGAAATCAAATCGGCAAATTCGACCCCTTTTAACCCGGCCATTAGTCACCAGGAAAGTAACCCCTTTATTTTTGTGTTATAACTTTAGGTCCCCATGGACTTACGATACCCAATCACAATTTGTTTGAAATGTTCAATAAGATTCATCAGTTTGGAAATAAAACTTTTATATTTGTTTGAAATCTGTCCAGCAGCTTGAGAAGAGATGTCGTTTAAAGCAAATCTATTTCGACTCTATCTTTACATCCTAGGTGAGTCTTTTATTCATTTTTCTTTTGATCTCCCTGGGCTAAGCATGATACAACTACAGTATGGTTGAAAGCTGCTCAGTAGTTTTTGGAGGAGATGTTGTTAAACTCATCCACCCCTACATATTTAAACTAGACTTGCCCAGTCTTTGTTTTGTTAAGGTTTAAATGTAAACTTTAGGGGTGAATGGGTGAATGCAAAAGGTGAGGGACGACAGACAACAGACAAAGCATCATCATATATGCTCACTGTGGTCCTTTGTATCAAGAGATCTATCAATGCATTACACTCGAAAAATTATGAACCTTTGAAAATTGACAATTTTCAAAGTTCGACTGACGATTCAAACCCAGGTCCTCATTTCCTAAAATATCCTTGTAATTGTAACAGTGCTACCACAATTTTGTTTCTAAATCTGAACCTAAGTACAACAACTACAGTAGTGGTCCTATCACACTAGACTGACCGACATGAATATGTCTTACTCTCCTGTCTTTATATTGACTCGAGCAAGTCTATGGGCTCTGTTGTATATAATCAACATACACTAGACTTGCTCAAGTCCATAGACAAGAAAATAATCATATAGACTGAAAGTCTATAATACCTGGCCTTCAATCCATAGGTACAGTAAGGAAAAGCTACCTAGATTATATTTAACATTAAACAAATGTCAGAATCATAACTGATATCAAAATAAACTCCCCTGATGTCTGAATATCAAGTATTGGATGACCAACATTACATGTATATGACTGTGCATATATGTTTGATATATATAATCACAGACGTTTCAGATAATCTAATTCACTGATATAATAAACAAAGTGTGTAGACAGTCCTCTAAAAATAATAATGAAAGATCTTCCCAAGTTTTATAAACAGCTTGGAACAAGATTTGATCTGGGTACAATTTGTGGACTGTTCAGGACATTATTTGTGGTTGTTCGGGCAAGTTTTTTAGACAGTTCTGGACAACCGACAGTCTAGTGAAAAGTGAACCTAGCAAATGACTTCGGATAAAACTTAATCTGACAAACAACAGTCCATCCACGTCCATGTGACAATCCACAAACAATGGACAGTCCATATAAAATTTAGTCTGACAATCAGCCGTCTTCATGAAACTGAATCTAAACAGCGACAGAACACACCAAACTCTATTGATGGAGGGTTCCATTATAAATGTATGTGTACACAAAGTCATAATTCAAGTAGCAGTTCAGAAAGGTGAGAAGTACTTCTAACCAAGATCTAGGTTACAAAGGCTTACACGAAGCTGGCACAATACATTTTGTTATAGTAAATTATTTCAGACAGCACACATTATCAGTAATGTTAACAAATGTACTTTGTACACAATCCATTCATGATACACACAAGTTGGAATTGTCAGGAACAAATCAGTTTTTTTTAAAGTTTCTATATTTAATAAATGACCTTTTAGTAAATAAAACAGTCAAGACTCTTGACCATCAAAATTACCAAAAATTGCAATGATCAAGTATGTAAAAGTGTACATGAATCCAATGATTTTGTAATGTTTTTTTTAGAATTTACTCAATATTGGTAAAAATTTAACTAAATATTATCAATTCTATGCTAGCACAGAACTAAATTCGGGTCAAACTTAAGTTTCTTCAAACTCATGCAACTATTTCTACAACTAGAAAACTAATTGTATTATAATAACTACAGAAAAGGTGAATGGGTTGTAAGTGTATGGGGCAGGGCAGGATGGGGTGGGGTAGGGATCTAGTGTAGGTGGGGCCCATGTCTGGCAGAGGAATTTAATATTATAAAGGAAAGGTAACATCACATTCAATAAAAATAGAAAGCATAACATCCTACCTAGTAATGTCGAAAACAAAAATGGCCGCCAGAGAGAGTTTAGCCTGCAGCTGGAATGTAGACTGAAGAAGCGATCAGTGGTAGAGTCTCATCTTTTACATTAAAAGCTTGAGATCTACTCTACTGAATCAATATCTACAAGTGGGGGCCACAGGATGAATCAAACTCTAGTACTACAAACTTCACCAAAAATCTTCTCAACTAAAAAACTAAACACTTTATAACCTCATAAAATATATTATAACCAGTAAATGAGGGAATAAGTTGTTATAAAGAATATAAAGACTTAATTATCAAAGTCATTATTGAAACAGGATGTTTCTTACCCGTTCTCCCCCAAGTGAGAATGGTTGGTTCCGAAGATCCAGAAGAAATGAAGGGCCAGTACCTGTTCTCCACATATAGGTGGCAGGGTTTGGAAGAAGGCAGTTCCTTATAAAGCAAACAAGTAATCGGAGAGCAGCACCTCATCTCCAAGCCCAGGTTATTTATAGACCATCACTAAGGGGATTCTCTGTCTGCAGAATGGTAAAAAGACCACTGTATCTGTTAGGGGGTGCTGTACCAGCATGTACGTAGATAGGGAGTGTTCAAATCACATCCAGTGTTACCTTCAAACAGACATGCATATGGACTTACTTATCAGACAGAAAGTGTTTTCTCAACTAATCAATAATGAAATATACAAGTTCATGATTAAATAATGAAAAATATACTAACAGTATATTTGTTACACTTTATTGTTGCTAAAAGAAAAAATGCCATTGCATAAATGAATGCAAAGCTCAGTGGCAGCCATGGTTTTAAAAAGTATTTTTTAATATAATCAGTAGCATCAAAATGATATACATCTACATGAACTGTAAGTTTAGTAATTACGGTAAGCTGAGTACCTTAAAAAAAAAAAAAAAATGAAATTTTCATAAAAAAATAATTAATGGAAAAAAAGAAAAAAAGTACAAAAAAAACAGGTGTATGTGGAGTTAATTGAAATAATATCAAAACCTTACCCAAAAAGTTCCAAGTGAATTTTACTGCAAAAAAGGTGAAGTCCAACATAAAGTAAAATTCAGAAAAATCAAACATAATTTCTAAATTTAATTTTCATTTTATGACACCTTCACCTCAAATGAAATCATGTCAATTAGGAAGTGTGTGGAACTTATAGTTATGGAGTTATAAGGAGCATTTCAAAACTTACTCCAAATACTTCAAATTAGTTTCCAGGTGGGATATGGTCAAATATTTTCCCTATAAGCCTTTTTGGTTATTCAGAAGAAGTTATTGAATTTTCAATCATATTCTGATAGCGCTATATTCCAGCATGCTACTGGCCAAATACCTTCATCCTAGGCCTCTTTGTTATTGAGGATACGAAATTTTAATTTTGGAAAACATTTCACCTCTGTTGCCATGAACACAGGTGGAGGTCATTAAAACAAAAATATGAACAAAATTCCTAGTCGCTCATTCTAGCATGCCACTCGCTAAAGATCATCTTGGTTTTTAATATAAAATTCTTTAAATGTACACATTTGACGCTTGTGGTCTTGAATATGGGTGAAGGTCATTCATTTTAACAAGTTTAATAGCTCTTCATGCCAGTTTGCTACTTGCCAAATATGATCACCCATGCAAGTTGGCTTCTTACTGCATACTTCCCACCTCTCACAATGGAAAAGTGTGGGCAATAAATAACTTGCTACCACAGTCCACTGCACACATAACCCCTTTCAAGGCCAATCATGATTACATGACCATGAAAGGGGGTGTGCCCAGTGGACTGTGGTCACAAATGCTGTAAGAAAGGGGAGATAATCAATCAGAAAAACAATACAGGGGAAAGGATAAACTTATATAATTAGTTGACACATTTAAAATAAGAAAAAAAGAAGCTTAAAATAGTTATTCATGATTGATAAACAAACAAACAAAATTCCTTGTCACGTGAGATGAAACGCATTTCCTGGAAAAGTTTAAATTCTTTAGGAGCTGTTCCTTTATACAAAATTGCACATTCAAAATATACCATTCATTGAAAGATCTGGAATTCCTTAGGGATTGTTAAACCCTTATATTGTATGTATGAAAATGGTTTCAATATCCTGTACCTTTGCCACATCCTGAAAATTAAATTGAAAATGTAGTCAGAAATTCAACGTTATTTCCCGTATTTTGTTCTAATTGTTGAACAGACACTCCTTACCTTCCCTGACACTGGAGCTGGATATAGTAATGCAAAAACACTTGTATCCATTATGAAGGATACACTCAGACTGGGCTATTGAGAAAAAAGACAATCTTACCTGGTTGTGATTATTACCCACACAGGTACATGTAAATTATCTGCAGTGTAGGGTAGGTAAAAAGATTGTCCAGGTGAACATTTTTTACTCAATTTTTCTGTTTTGTTCAAGTTGGGCAGCATGCAGTAAGCCAGTTATTGCATGATTTCTCGTCACTCGGGACTTATTACACCCTCGCTTCGCTCGGGTGTAATAAATCCCTTGTTACTCGAAAACTATGCAATAACCTTTACTTGTTATTCAGCAGAAGTCGCTGAACTGTTTTAATCCATTTGACCCTTGAGACCATGGGTGAAAGTCATTCATATGAACAAACTTGATAGTCCTTCATCCCAGAATTTTACTGTCTAAATATCATCACTGTAAGAAACTTGGTATCTGAAAAAAAAAAAATGTTTTAACACATTCAACCCCTGTAACCTTAAATATGGGTGAAGGTCAACCATTTGAAAAAAATATGTAAAGGTCCTTCATCTCAGCATGCTACTTGTCAAATATCCAGAAGAAGTTGATTCAAAAATAAAATATTGACACCAAACAGATGGATGGAAGGATGATGGGCAGAATATAGACTCTACACCACAGCATAAGATGTATGAGGTTATGTGCAGGTATACAGTAGGGTAAATAGCTTTTTGGTTGATTCTTCAAACCTTCTGTAATAATACTGCATTTTTGAGCTACCTTTAATATATGGTTTTTGTTCTTTCTCTTTTATGCAATTCCCAAATATACATTTTGTCAGAAAAATCATGGTACACTGAGCATTTCTTCTTACAGTTGTGTATCATAAAGTTGGTGAATATTGTTGATGCTTATTGTTTGCACAAGTTTTAATGTATTATAAATATTAGCCCTTCACCCCTGAATGGTATAGGACAAAAATCTGTAAAAGGAATCATTTGAATTTTTTAATGCATTTGACTTTTATGACCTTTGAAGGAGGGTCACAGCCATTTATTTGAACAAACTTGATAGACGTATATAGATGTTTAGCTCCGCACAATACATGAAAAATATCTCAACTATAGACAATATGGATATTGAGATAAAAAAAATAACCGTTTTACCACATTTGCCGTCAGAGTGACTTTCAAAGTGGATCAAACTTATAGCCTGTCACCACTAAAGCATACATCCATCCAGAATGTCATGACTCTGTGCCTTACAGGCCTGTAGAAGAATTTCATTGAAGGAAAACCTTACCTCAAAAAAGTGTAAAAACATGTTTTTCTCTCCATTTTTATGGTTAAATGACTTTCTCCACTTGCTTGCCTCATAGTGTGATGCAGGGATGAATGAAGTTTCATGATCCTGAAGCAATCGCTTCCTCACTTTAAAAAAATGACATCTGAAATTAATTGTATGCAAATTATTGTCATCAAAACACATTCCAAATATACAGGTTACCTGTAAATTCAAGTAGTTAAAAAAATAAAAAAATTGGTTTTAATTTATGTCTATACCTTAATTTATTCAAAATCAAACATGATTGGTAAGTGAGGTAATTTAGCTTAATATGAATAAAGTTAAAATCTGTTCACCAAATCATCTGGAGCTCACTCACTGTAGGACTAGCTCTCATTTCGTCTAGGGGGCCCTGTTGCATCACTTTGTATAAACTTGGTCCATATAGATGCTTATAATTCATATTAATTCATTATAAATTGAGAAATCATATTGAAGATGTATGCATATATACTCTTTTAAAAGTGTTTTACTCCTATCCTCTCTACTTGGGTGACATCTCCCAAAGGGAGTCGCACTCTTGTTTATAATTTAATTCCCTAAGGCCTCAGAGGGATGCAGATGCTTTAAATTCAAAGCTTGAGCCATATAATGCTGTCACATAAATTAGCATGTTTCTATATATAATTTCAAATCGAAAAGAAATAATTGTCAATCTATCTTTGATTCAGGAGAAGTCTATCGCTCTTTTGATACCTATATATATACAGTAGTTGTAGACAGGTATTTATTAGACTTGAAAGTCAGTTCAAGCCTCAAGGTACTTTTTCAAATGTGGAAATTACTTTAATTCTAGCTAGCCCAGCTATGGTATATACTGGCCAAATATCATGATCCTCTTGCATTATCATAATTATACATGTACAAGTTTAGATTTTTTAAAGCTTTCTTCCCTTGGTATTATAAACCATGTTGAACTGACACCCGCTCGCTGGCCAATTCTTAAATTTGACCTTTGACCTCAAAACAATATATAGGACAAATATGATATTTGCACTGCTGTTCTACATGACATGCCCTTGTATTATGACTTCAGACATTAGTTTGATTTTCTTTATTTGACCCATGTATTCTTGATTGGTGTTCGAGTTGGAATACAAATTTGAAACTCTAGACTCAAATACAAAGCCATTTAATGGTCAGACTCTGACTCGGAGTGTGGAGTATAACATATAGATTGATAGAATTTGTTTCTAAAGATTGTTGTAAATGGATGTTCACCACAACAAAGCTGACAGGCATTTTTTGCCATTGTGAGCTCAGAAAAAATCTGAAGTACTGAAGAATCTGTGTACACTTAATACAATTGTAGCTGCTCATTATATATAACTGGTAGCTCAATTGACTTGAGCGTCTTAGAGTTTGTAGGGTCCTGGGTTCGAACCCTGGTCTGGCCATGCATTTTTCCTTTCCTGTTACAAAGTATTCATATCGATTTCATGCTTCCTGCACTTAAAATACTTTCCAATGCTAGAGATAACTAGAATTTTGTTTTTGTAAAAACATATGTCTCCCCTTATTTCTTCTTTGCGTATTGCATAGTTATCTTCTCTTGTGAGCAGGTATTGATTGAAATATGTCATTGGTTTGTGTGAGAAAATTACTTCGTTTTCTCAAAATTTGATGACGTTACTCTCACAAACAAATGACGTAACAATCAATACCTGCTCACAAGAGAAGATAACTCTGCAATACGCAAAGACAGAATTAGCCAATAGACAGACTTCCGTATAAAAAATGAACACAGGGTCATATCTCTTTATATAGTGGGGCACGAGACCCGAATTTAGAATGCGACACTCCTACTTCCCAAAATACATTAAAACTATAGCAAGTTTGGTCAACGTAGGTGAAATAATATGGAAGTTATGCCGTGGACAAACTTTGATATCAAAAATAAACAAAGGGCCATAACTCTGCATATAGTGGGGCACAAAACATGATTTTAGTGGGAGAGATTCCATCTTCCCAAGATACATAAATATGGTAAATTTGGTCAACGTAGGTGAAATAACATGGAAGTTATGATCCGGACAAACTTCGGTATTGAAATTAAACAAAGGGCCATAACTCTGTATAAATAGTGGCGTACGAGACCTAGTTCCAGTGCACTGCACACCTTCTGTGGGTGATGCAGGTATACTTCAACTTTGATCAAGATATCTTTAACGATTTAAAATTTACGGGCCGGACAAGAATTTACTGAAAATGAAGGTCACAGCACGGAATTATATTGTTATCTAAGTCCGTGGTAACAGTGACCTAATTCCAGTGCACTGCACATCTTCTGTGGGTGATGCATGCATACCTAAAGTTTCATCGATATATCTTTAACGGTTTAAAAGTTATGGCCCGGGCAAATAGCGAATACAAGGACCAGAAGAAGAACCATTCGAAGGGGAGACATAATTAAAGGGACATGTGCAAGTCTACTAATAAAAGTTTCAGTATGACAAGGGAAACAACTCTGCAAACACATTATATGTAAAATACGCAAGTTGTTGTATAGTCTCAAGAACAAGATTAGCCATGAGGTGAATGTCACAGTATGTAACTGATTATGTATTATTTCTGAAAATATATCGATACGAAATTTGTTATATCTATCTTTTTCTGACAATGCATACATGGGATCCCGTAAACCGTCTGCAACACAAATGTAAACAATCCACGAGGAATGACATTATGGCGGGAAATTGTTTGAGATTTATTATATCTTTCATAAGGATTAAACGAAATCTTGTACACTGTCGTACATCAGTGGTACATTATACAACAACTTTATAATGTATTGTCTCTGTTTTAGTGTACTTACATAATTCTATGAAAACAGAAATAATTGCAGAACTATATTTTGTCATTCACTTCCGGTAGAAAGTGTGATTAGGTCGCGCTAAAATTCAAGAACCTGAAATGCTGGAACGAAGTTATGGAACTCTGAAGATGTCAAATTGGTATTCTATACTGTATTCTCAAAGTTTTCCTAATGGGAAGCAAATATTCCTCATTTTGCAGTTACCAAATTCTATATGCACGATGCATAATCTTTAATTTAATGTTGCTATAGCTGAAAGTTTACATAGTTTGAGGTTGTTTTCATCGTCACGCTTCACAAGTTCATTTGACAGGCGCACGGGTGGTGGACACGAAAAGCATACGTTCTGCATTGTAAATATTATGATAAAGGATATGTCATTTTGCTTTTATGTATACAGCACCAATATGGCTGTAGAATTATTATCATTGATTTTTCATGTAACATCGGTCGGATAAAGATCTAGACTTGAGTGATGCTCTGTAACAAAATTAAAGCCATTTTCATGATTTTGGTGTCGGGAGTATAATGTAACCTGTAGATAGATTTTACAAGTGCGTCCCCTGTGACCATTCTTTAATTGCATTATGATCCTGTGAAATGTGTGTAACATTAATTCTTCCTTCTTGAAACTGTTCATAAAATCTGTATAGCACCAGCCCTCATTTTGTGATGCCAAGTGTACATGCAAGTACAATTAAGTGTAATTATCACAGGGGCGTTGCACAGATCCCAAACCAACATTCAGTGTATATATATGTGTAGGTTACAAAGATTACATACAGACTGGTTTGGGTATCTGTGCCACACGTGCACTCCAGTGTAAGTTTAAATATCATATATATATGAGACAAAATTCAAAAATGGTCCAGAAAAAGTGACTCCCACATCAAATTTTCAGAATGTGTTTTTTTGTGTGTTATATTAAGCATTTCGTGAAGGTTATGACAACAACGTTTAAAAAAAGGGTGGAGAACATATTTCATACTGTTGCATTGGTTACATGGTGTATACATCCTTTATAAGTTGAAATTGTATTTCTTTGTCAGGTAATTTGTTCAGTAATTAAGTTATTATTTTAATTAAACAAATAATAAAGTTTTCTTAAAAATGGAGATCTTGGTAACTTTATTGTTATTTTGAGAAAAAATGCAAGACATCAATAAGGACACTGTAACAGTCCACAATACTACTACATAAAAAATGCACATATTTGATATCCCATATCAACATCGAAAATATTTATCTTTGTACTTTATTAAAGTTAATTGCAGTAAAGTATTATACCTTAGAGTTGATAAAAGCCAAGGGACATTTGATACATTTTGGTATATGTTGCGTATGTAACACGTACACCAAGTCAAATGTTACGAACAAAACACAACTTATATTTCCGATTACCCAAATAGAAGATTTCAGTTGCAATTTGGGTGGCTAAGATTATAAATTTATCCTCACAGCCAGTATACAGAAAAGGGTTGAAGTGTACTTAATTCGATGAGGGTATGGACCATGTTTAATATTCGTTCGTAACAAACAGAGGAGGAAGGGTGTGTCCTGTTATGATGATCTTAACACATTTGTAAATGGTTCGGTAGCCAGTTTTATGTTGTGCCTAAAAAGCATGCCACAGGTTTCATCAATTCACAAAAAAAGTAATTTTGATAGATTTTGATTGCAAATCATGGTGTTCACCATGCGGTAAGATAATATTTGTTTGTTGCTGAAAGACACCATGTCTAAAATGTCGTCTTCGTTTCGACCATCACCAATTTATCGCCAGGATACACCAAAAGTGGATGTCATTTAAAATATCAATGCAAACGAACAGTGTCATACACATTCTTGTTATTCGCGTTAAATAGCAAAAACTTGTCACTTCTAATCACAAGAAAAATGACCTAAAAGTTTAAAATGTACATCCCGTCACCGACGTTACATATCACCACTGGACAGGACACGGTTGTCATTCAAGCCAGTACGCAAAATATCAAACAGGTGCGCATGGTCTATAACTCGCCAGAGGAAATAACGCTTAGAACAACTTTTTCTGAAGAACTGAAAGGTATAGAATCTTTGTATTTGGCTGGTGGCTTCCTAGGAGAGAGCCCCATAAGTTTGAAAATGAAAAATATCTCGACTTACTTTCAAGGTCACAGGAGTCAGATATGTCTAATGCTTAAAACGACTTTATTACGAAGAACTGAAAGTTATAGAACCTGAATATTCGGCTGGTGACTTCCTGGGAAAGAGCCCAACAAAGTTTATGTATGAAAATGACCTTGACCTACTTTTAAGGTCACATGAGGCAGATATGTCAAACACTTTAAACGACTTCTTCTGAAGAACTGGAAGGTATAGAACCTTAATATTTGGCTTGAAGCTTCCTAGGAAAGAGCCCAACAAAGTTTGAGAATGAACATGACCTTGATTTACTTTCAAGGTCACAGCGTTCAAATATGTCAAACGGTTCAAACTACTTCTGATGAAGAATAAAAAGGCATAAATTTATAATATTTGGCTGGTGACTTCCTGGGATAGAGCTCACCAAAGTTTGCGAATGAAAATGACCTCAACCTACTTTAGAGGTCACAGAGGTCAACAACATTTTAAAGGATTTGTTCTTAAGAACTAAAAGAAATTGATTCATTAGATTTGGCTGGTAGCTTTTTGGAATAGAGCTAACCAATTTGAGAAGGAAAATGACATTGACCTACTTACAAGGTCACAGGAAAAAATATGTCAAGCAACTTCTGAAGAAGAATCAAAAAGCATAGAATCTTATAATAATATTTGGCTGGTAGTTTCAACAGATGGAGACGACAAAGTTTTTGAGGGAAATATTTTTAGTGCAATATAATATTTAATGAGAATATTTTGCTATGACTGCTTAAATATTCAGGTGAGCGATACAGGCCCTCTTGGACCTCTTGTTGTATATGGGTGGGACTTTGTTCTCGCTATATCTCAAGTACTGGATGGATCTTTCTGAAATTTCATATGTACTTACAGCACCTAGCAATGCAGTGCTTTATCTTTACTTCATACCAATTATTTTAAATATAACATAACAAAATAATGTGACTTATTCAAACATTATCTGTTTTTAGCTCACCTGGCACGAAGTGCCAAGTGAGCTTATGCCGTGGCGTGGCGTGGCGTCTGGCGTCAATATTTTACTTTAAACGACTTCTTAATAACCAAAAGGCCTAGGGTGATGATATTTGGTCAGAAGCAAACTGGGATGAAGGGCTACAAAGTTTGTTAAAATTAATGACCTTCACCCATTTTCAAGGTCACAGGGGTCAAATATGTTAAAAACTTTAAACATCTTCTTCTCGATAACCAAACTGTCCAGGGAGGTGTTATTCGGACAGTAGCATGCTTGGGTGAAGGGCTACCAAGTTTTTTCAAATGAATGACTTTCACCCATATTCAAGGTCACAGGGGTCAATTGTCTGAAAAAAACCCTTTAAACAACTTCTTCTGAATAACCAAAATGCCCAGGGTGATGATATTTGGCCAGTAGCATGCTGAGATGAAGGGCTACAAAGTTTGTTCAAATGAATGACCTTCACCCATATTCAAGGTCACAGGGGTCAAATATGTTAAAAACCTTAAAAAACTTCTTCTCAATAACCAAAATGCCGATGGTGATGATATTTGGCCAGTAGCATGCTGAGATGAAGGGCTACAAAGTTTGTTCAAATGAATGACTTTTACCTATATTCAAGGTCACAGAGGTCAAATATGTTAAAAACATTAAACAACTTGTTCTGAATAACCAAAATGCACAGGGTGATGATATTTGGCCAGTACCATGCTGAGATGAAGGCTACCGAGTTTGTTCAAAGGAATGACCTTCACCTATATTCAAGGTCACAGGGGTCAAATATATTTAAAACTTTAAATAACTTCTTCTCAATAACCAAAATGCACAGGGTGATGATATTTGGCCAGTAGCATGCTGAGATGAAGGGCTACAAAGTTTGTTCAAATGAATGACCTTCACCCATATTCAAGGTCATAGGGGTCAAATATGTTAAAAACTTCAAACAACTTCTTCTGAATAACCAAAAATGCCCAGGTCGATGATATTTAGTCAGTAGCATACTAGGATCAAGGGCTACCAAGTTTGTTTAAATGTATGACCTTGAATCATATTCAAGGTCACAAGGAGCAAATATGTTCAAAATATAAAAAAAAAATTAAACAACTTGTTCTGAATAACCAAAAGGCTCAGGATGTTGTTATTTAATCAGTAGCATGCTGGGATCAAGGACTACTATGTTTGTTAAAGTGAATGACTTTGACTTCTATTCAAGGTCACAGGGGTCAAATATGTTTAAATCTTTAAACGACCTCTTCTGAATAACCATGGGTCCCAGGATGTTGATACTTTGCAAGTTGCATCCTGAGATGAAAGGCTATAACATTTGTTCAACATAATGACTTTGTTCGACTTTCAATCACAGGGGTGAAATGTTTAAAAAAAAAAATAACGGGTTCTTTTGAATGAATTTTAATCATAAATACTGATATTTTATTTTGCCTGTAGCTTTATTTTAGATCACTTTTAAGGTTACAAGTGTGAGATTTATACCAGGTGAGCGATGCAGGCCCATTGAGGCATACTTAAAACAATGACAGTGTGAAATTTCACAAGTTTATTCAAAATAAGTGGCAAAGTCCGAAAAAACAAAAGTACCCCCATTTGAACCAATACTGAATTTTGCCTAATAAATGCTAAAGCAAGACCAAGAAATATTGCTAAAATGCACTTCGTATCAAATCCAATAACCCCTTAATATCAAGAATACAATGACATTTTGAAAGCATAGCGGAACTGAAGTGGACTGGGCCGATTGTCGGCAGATCCTGCAGGTAGCTCAATTGGTAGAGCAACCTTCTAGAGCTAGGAGGGTCCCGAGTTCGAACCCCGGTCTGGCCGTTACATTTTCTCTTTCTCTTGTTACAAAATTGGCAGGATTGCCGACCTTTGTTTCAAGCACTTGGTGAATGCTTGGTAAGGGGATACTCAGAGTGTAACTAGTGGTGTCATCGGGGGCGAAACTTTAAAAAGGAGGAAGGCATGCAGCAGAACTGGACAGAGTCGATAGTCTGTCGCTCTTTGGGTAGAGCATCCATTTAGAGTTCAGATGTTGGTCTGATCCATGCATTTATCTTTCTTCTTTTAACTCTTGTTTCTTTTTCAGAATGGTTTGATGTTATAAGACTCATATGCTACCTGGTGATTCCATTCACCATGACCTACTACCAGCCCTACTTGTCCCATCCTGGAGCTCCGGGAGCAGGGAGGTCACCAGAGTCTGGGTATCCACCACTGACCAGTCAAGGATACATCACAAGTCCTGGTGCACAACAGTACATGCAGATGCAGCCCACTGCATTCTTCCCACAGAATCTGCAAAGTAATGGTGTAGAACTGGGTAGGATCATTAGAGGACTGTTAATTATTGCGCCTAAATTCAAAAATTAATTGGCATTTTACAAACTCACAAATTTTAAGTAGGCTATATATAGAATTCAGGGTCACATACACAAAATATATTTTAAAGTTTAAATGACTTCTGATTTACAGTGCTTCATTCATCTGAGAGAGGGCCTAGTAAGTTGTTAGAATTTGTGGCCAATCCCTTTGATTACTCAGTGTCAATAAAATATGTTTGAATGAAATTAACTAAGAGGCTTACAGTCTTGATATTCGAGATTTGAGATATTTAAGCATGCTGGGATGACAGGCTTTTAAGTTTGTTCTAATGAATGACCTTGACCCCATTTAAAAAAAAAATCCAATTCTTAAGCATTAGAGTAGCTATACTTTAAGGTGAACGACACCTAAAGTAATTTTCTATGTGCATATTTCATTAACAAACAACGTGGCATTCACTGGGTAATTCTTTTCTTAAGGAACGTATGCAGAAGTTTCCCCTCCATCACTCTCACCAGTACCACCACCACCACCACCATCACAACACAGGATAGAGTTAAATCCAAATGCTATAGCCTACCAGTCCTACACCAGCCCCTCCCCTCCACTGCACAACAGCCAGCAATATCCTGGAGGAGGGGACCAGAGGCACCAGGAAGTTTATCAAACAGACACTTGTCAGATGTACCAGGATGGAACCAAACAGTACCGGGGTCAACCACTGTTTCGTCCCTACCAAAACGGTCCCGAGGTTATGAGGCTCCCGTCCCCTAAGAATCACCTACAACGTCCTGTGACACCACACACATTGAAATCTCCTATACAGACATTTAATATTCCAGCTCCATCATTTGGGTAAAATATCTTGTTAGTAGTAAATAAAAAAATAATTACACAGGTCAGATGTTTTGCAAACTAGCTATAGGCAAGGGCTAGAAAATAAAGGTTGCCAGATTACCCTCAATATTAGCGTCTTGTGCACACTCATGTATAGTGTGCAGGTATTTTGGGGTGATTTTTTTGGAGATAACCTATCATGTTGAATAATATTGGGTTAGTTGAATTTACATGTGGACTTGTGAAATTGGAAACAACTAGCTCAACTGACCAATGGTTTTAAAAAATGATTTCTAGCCCTGTAGACACGTGAAGGAAGTAATTTTTTGTAATCGTTACAGTAACAATTTTACTACTCCAGTACAGTAAAATGCCTATGGGCCTCCTTTTGCAAATTTACAGTGTTTTGATGTTCATGTTATATCTGATAGTAAGAATTTATGCATGAAAAATTCCTATAGGCCAGAAATGTATCTCCCATCTTCTTTTTTATAGAGGTCCAAGTATACCATCGACTAAAGAAGAGGCCACTAATGGCCTGACACGAAGCTACCCAGACGACCAGTCTGTGTTTGTGAGAGGTACATATACAGTATTCTTCATCGGTTGGTAGACTTACACTAACATCACTAGGGCTTCCATGATTCCAGCGTATCTTGTAATACTTGTAATTATCCCTGTTTTCCTAATTAGTCTCCATCTGGTGCTACCAGAAGGGTCTGTACAGGTAGGTTAGCATTTGTAGGTCACCTGAGACAAAGAGGGGATACATTTTACTATAGTTTACATTGTATAGGGAAATCACATTTTGGACCAACATTTGTTTAATTTCCATCGGAATTATTTCAAACTTCGTAAGCATTATCAGCATTGGATGGAAGTTTGATGGTAAGCACATATCAACCCTGACTGACCCCAAGGGGCTGATGGGTGGGGCCAAAAAGGGTTGAATTGCCTGAAATTTCAAAAATCGTCTTCTCAAGACCAAGGTATGGTAGAATCAAATACTCTTCATAGATGGAAGGGTCTTAAGGTGCTTTACCAAAATTGTGAATTTCATGACCCTGGGGTCTCACATTTCCCCCTGGGTCTCGAGGGGGTAAACTTTACTCTAGTTTAATTCTAAATTATATGGTCCCCAGCCACCAGGAGCCTGAGGGTCGGGGCCAAAAAGGGCCAAATTGACTAAAATTTCAATAATCTTCTTCTCAAGATCCAGATATGGTAGAATCAAAAACTCTTTTACCATAATTCAGCTGACTGACAGAACCACTATTTGTACATAGTGCATATATTACCCAGATCTTTCACACTTCTTTTGCATTACATGTAGTTCAAATTACCTTTATTACAGAATTATTTCTTTTTTATTTGGAAACATCGATAACATCAGTTTTATCATAATTCAGGTGACCATTAAGGCCCATGGGCCTCTTGTATGATAAAACAGTTCATCTGAGTCATATCTGAACAAGATGACATTTTAATGTGGGCTATATATATCTGTCGTTCCTATCATGGCCACCACACTTTATTTCCATACAAAGAAATGCATTTTTTTTCGAGACCATGATCTGATTGATCTCTCTTGCATCACAAACTAGTTTCTTTAAGCAAGTAGGAACATGTTTATTTAAATGTTTTTAAGGTCAATATGTCTGGTCAGAGATACTGTCACTAACTTATCTTTCTCAAGATGTCCAAAGGTTTGTGATTTTAGTTACAAAATTTTACTTAGTATATTTGTTTAGCTCACCTGCCATGGTGCGGTGTCCGTCGTCACCTTTTCACTTTAAACAACTTCTTCTGAATAACCAAAATACCCAGGCTGATGATATTTGGCCAGAAGCATGCTGGAATGAAGAGCTACCAAATTTGTTCCAATGAATGACCTTCACTCATATTCAAGGTCACAGGGGTCAATTGTCTTAAAAACCTTTAAACGACTTATGAATTACCAAAATGTCCAGGGTGATGTTATTTGGTCAATAGCATGCAGGTATAAAGGGCTACAAAGTTTATTCAAATGAATGACCTTTGTACATATGCATATTTCAAAGTCACAGGGGTCAAATATGTTGAAATCTTTAAACGACTTCTTCTGAATAACTTAAGTGTACAGGGTGATTGTTTGTAGATGTGAATGACCTTGACACACTTTCCTGGTCACATCTGGTCCATAGTGCATAAATCTTTAAAAGTCATCTTCTCAATAAACAAAAGGTATAGGGTGGTGATATTTGGCAAGTCGCATTCTTGGATGAAGGGCTATAAAGTTTTTTCAATTTGATATAATATATCCATGTTTGACTTTCAAGGTCACAGGGGTCAAGTGTATTTTAATCCTTTAACAGTTTTTTCTGAATTTCTGAAAACTTTAAGTTAAGACACTGATATTTTGCCTGTAGCTTCATTTTATTTCTCTTTTATGGTTACAATTGTGAGATTAATACCAGTTGAGCGATGCAGGCCCATTGGGCCTCTTGTTCTTTTTTGGTTTCTTTTTGTCGGACTGAGCAGAGTAAGCATAAATAAACCTGTACTGGTAATGTACCTCAAAGATTATTTAAATGGAAATTTTATCTTTTAACTCCTTACATTATTATATTCAAGATAATTTGATTAAGAGGAAAACCCATATTTCAGATTCTGGTCAAGGCATAGCTGTGCCATCAACATCAGCTGAAGACCTCTTCAAGGCCAAGGCTTCATTGTATGGAATTGAAATCTGTACCAAGGCAGAGAGTCTTGCCAATGCTGGAAGGGGGAAACCTACAAAAATGTATTTAAGCAAGTTGAGTAATGGTTCTGATGAAATGAATGCAGAAAAACCAACAGAGATGTTATTCCAGAAGACACATATTGAACCTGAACACAGTAATGACAGTGATGATAGCACCACTGCATCCTCTGTGATTGGAGAAAGCACTGCTTGCTCTACAGGTCCTCAACAGCCTTTACAGAATTGTGACACGTCAAGCACCATGAAAAGTACATCCCCTGAAAAGAATGTTTCTCCTTCCAATGACAATGTATATGAGCCAACTGTTTATGATAAAGACATGTTTAATTCTGAAGAGATGGGGAATCAGTACTTAATCAGCCCAGTGGAATTGAATGGCTGTGTTGTATACAATGAAATTGCAGAGCATGAATCAGAGGAGAAAAACAAATCCACAGAAATTCCTGTTCATTTGTGGTCCATAGGAAGTTGTACAAACTCCTTGGACAGTACAGGGGAATGTGACAGCTTCATCACTGCTCTTGATGAGAATGTGTCTAGTGCTTCTGATGGAGAAATCGGAATTTTGGGGAATTATGTGTTGGAAGCATTGATGCCAACTAAAGCTCCTCAAGGAAAGAAAACTGATATAATGCAGGAAGCTTCTGAACCAGCTGTTGAACTAGGACAGTATGAAACCACCCAGACTGAGACTGTTAATACAGAGCGGACGGATCAAGAGCATTGGGATACATTAGAAAGTCTTGTTGAAGCCTATGTAAAAACAATTATTGAAAAAGCTTGTGAAGTAGTGTCAAAGAAATGTTACTCATCAGGAGAATGTAGACATGCAGTTAAGGGAGCCGAAAAAGCTGACAGTGAAGAAAATATCAGTAACTTTTTTCATGTTGAAACTGCTTCTGAAATGCTTGACTATAAAGTGGAAAGTTTAGATCTTCAAGTAAATTTCCAAAAGACCAAATATCAGGATGAGGCAGATGGCATTAAGGTGAAAAATCAGAATAAAACAGAGGATACAAAAGTCAAGCATCAAAATGATGCAGCTGACTCAAAGGCAAAATATCAGGATGGGCGAGTTGACTCAATTTCAGAGCAATCTTCAGCAGGCCCTGCCTCAAGCTCCTGGGACATGGCCTGGAATGCAAACAGCAAAAGTAAGGATGAAAACTCAAATTATTACAATAATAATATTGCAAAAGTTAAGGAATTTCACCACGACTCTGAGAGTACAGAACATTCCAGTGACTACAGTGATAGTGGCAGTGGTTCACAGTTAAATCCTATCTCACCGGAGTTCAAACCACGTAGATATCTTAAAAGCAAAAGTTTGTCTGTCAACACAAGCACCATGAGACCAGAGGCACCAGTTTTTCAGCCACTTAATGTACAAACCCTTCCCCTGTTTGTCAAAAGAAAGCTTAAGGAAGGATCCTGTCAGACAGAGGAGAAGGAGTACAAGGAGGTAGCTAGTAACACCCGCAGAGTTAAACAAACTGATCGCGTCTCTGAGACTGTTAGTTGTGACACTCGCGAAGTTTGTGTGAATACCATGGAGTCCTGTTTCTCCGAGGACACTGAATTCTTCCTGGCTGAAGAGATGACTTACAGTGAGCAGGGTACTCTGACAGAATCACTTGACAAGAAATCTATCGGCGTGCTTGTCAAGCCACATGCCCTTGATGCCTGCACAGTCAACAAGGAAACGATGACGGAACCTGTTCCTGACTACCTCGAGAGCCTCATAGCTACACAAGTTAGTACCTATTCTGACTATCAAGTCTCAGCAATGCTGATAGAATTATATACTAACATAAAAGTGATGTGAATGTGATGAGAGGAACATTACTGTAGTACAGTTAGTACAGTATGTAGATTATTTAGAGTATTGGTGGGGGTAAAACCATTGTGGGGGGCCGGGGGGGTGGTGGTACATGTCAAATTCAGTATTATATAATATGCATTTGCAAGATCCAATAAAATCTGTGTAGAGCATGTATGATAATTATAAGTAGATTTTAATTCAAGCTCAAGCTTTCCAAAAAATTCCAACAAGCATATAATTTTCAGACATCTGATTACCAAAAATGACCAAAAAAAATTATTATCAAATGAAGCAATTATATTGAGAAAAATATTTAGAATTTTAACTGCTTTATCAGTATAATTATTGGGTACTCGACTAGTAATCCATGAATTCATGTTCACACAAAATGGTATTTTGTCAGGGAAACTAGGAAATTTGAGCCCAACGAAAATATCTGATTTCACTGTCCATGTGATAGTAGTGTGACATATTATCTGTGTTTTCAGAGAGAGCTGCTACACCTACGTGGAGACGTTTGTACTTTGGAGTTGAAGCGACAGATTCACGAACTAGAAAGAAGTAAACAGATGTTTCAGAATATGTAAGACACAATCAAATTCATTCTGATAAAGAAGTTTGTCACTTTGTGTAATTGAAGATAAATGCATAAATTGTATTAATTATTTTGATGGGGGACAGCAATTTTCGCAAGAACAGTGTAAGGTGTTCTATGGTTAGAATTTTCCATAAGACAACAAAATGTCAATATGGAAGTGCTTTAAAATTTATGTCTGTCACAACCCAACATGTTTGGTTCCTGACAGTGTAGGGGGGGGGGGGGGGGGGCTTCTTAACAACCAAGAGATACATATATCAACCATATTTGGTTGGAAGCAACCCATCCTAGGATATTATTTGCCATACTACTTTCATTGAAAATCTTTTGCCATTATTGATTAAATATCCAGGTGAGCAATACAGGCCCTCTAAACCTCTTGTTGGTATTGTGCTGTCAAAGCAACACTTTTAATCAGAAGGCTAATGGAGGCTAAACGCGAACAGTAAAAAGGAAGTTGTGTGTCATCGTATGGTTATAAGTAAAGCAATGTTTTGAACACATGCATGTACAATTTTAAAACGCATGACATCGTAAAACTTACCAATTGAATAATTGTGCTAGTGAAACTAAGAAAAAGCCTAATATTGATTAGTACTAGCTTCAGTATATGTTGAGTACAGCTTAGGTCTGAATATTGAAATATATAGGTGGTATATAGGTATCTGAAAAATTATATGGTTCAATTGTTTTTGTTGAAATGATTGTTTATTTGGTATGTACATGTAATAATGTAACATGTAATTTTGATACATATATATATAGAGAGAGGATGTTTACTGGTGTCATCAGATATAACAAATATATTTCACGAGTGTGGCTAATATTTTGATATATATGAAAAATATCAAAATATTAGCCACACTTGTGAAATATATTTATTACTGAAGACACCATTAAATTTTCTATTGATTACATTTTTAGGTCACCTGAGCTTTGCCCTGGGGCCAGGGCGGGGCCCCAAAGGGAAAATTAATCAATATTTCAAAAATCTTCTTCTCCAGACTCAGAGGTACTACAGTGATTTTCTCTGTGTGGAAAGAAAGATCATCAGGGGCTTTACTTAAATTGTAAATTTCAGGACCCCCGAGCTATCCGTTCTCCCTTGGGGAGGGGGTAAAGTTTACTATAGTTTATATAGGGAAATAACACTTTTGGGTATATTTTGACAACTTTCTGTAGGAAATTATTTTTACTTGGTGAGAATTATCCTTGGAGGTAGATGGTTTCAAATTGTAAAATTGAGATTCCTACCCCGACCCCTGGGGCCAGGGCGGGGCCCCAAAGGGAAAATTAACCAATATTTCAAAAATCTTCTCCATCAGACTCAGAGGTACTACAGTGGTTTTCTCTATGTTGAAAGAAAGATCATCAGGGCCTTTACTAAAATTATAAATTTCAGGACCCCCAAGCTATCCATTCTCCCTTGGGGAGGCGGTAAAGTTTACTATAGTTTATATAGGGAAATAACACTTTTCGGTATATATTTTATCCATTTTCAGCAGAAAATTACTCAAACTTAGTCAGAATCATCTTGGGTAAATGAGAGTTTGACTTTGTAAAATTAGGATTCCTGCCCAATCCCCAGGGGCTAGGGTGGGGCCCCAAAGGGAACATTTACCAATATTTTCAAATTTTTATCCATTGATGACATGACAAGTATTGTATTTCACTTAGTTTACATGCTGATTTCCACATCACATCTAAACAATAAAATAAAGCTACCAGTACCTATGATATAACTCAGGTGACCGCTAAGGCCCTTGGGCCTCTTGTTAAAGCATAAAATATGAAAAATGTAATGCATTAAAAAAGGGCGGGGAATCAGAAGCGTAATAATTAGCGCCATATTCTAATGACATCATGCTTGACAACAAGGCTGCGCGCCATTTTGAATGGGATACTCGACGCAATTCCGACGTTTTCTGCTATTTTCTGGTATGATTGCTTATAAAAATTTTATTTATTGTATATTTATGTAAATACTTAAGTGTGTGTATTAAACATTTACCATAACAACCACTTATTCTACCATCGCTTCATATGAATCTGAACAAAAAGTCGTTGCCTTTGAATGCAGCCAATAGAAGATACCGTTATGATTGGTCAATACCAAAAAGTGATATTTAAACTATCACTTTTGATATTTGTCACAGTGTGAAAGATATCAGTTTTGTGAAGTTAATGTAAAATATAATAAATTTACGATATACAATTGTAGGAGAGGAGAGCCTCTGGACAAGGTCGTGGATGACAGGATAACAAGTCTGAAAATTGAACTCAACATCATACAGGTATTGTTCTGACATATTAATTAAACAAAAGCTTATGCAGTTGACAATCAATTGGTTAACTACTCCCAATTACAAACTGATTATCAGTTATGTTTTTAAACCAATTGCCCATCACATATATATATACCATATCAATATATATTTGACATACTCTTGAAAATCAAGAAAAAGAAAAAAATGTTAAGGACTTTGGGCCTTTTATTTCCCATTTCACTTCAGACTTATATTGTCAAATGCCAAAAAAAAGGTTCACACCATTATTACATAATTTTACGAACTAAACCTATGTTAGTGTAAAGCTATGGTAAGCACTCTGATGGACGATACCAACTAAATCTATGTTAGTATAAAGCTATGGCAAGCACTCTGATGGAGGATACCAACTAAATCTATGTTAGTATAAAGCTATGGCAAGCACTCTGATGGAGGATACCAACTAAATCTATGTTAGTATAAAGCTATGGTAAGCACTCTGATGGAAGATACGAACTAAATCTATGTTAGTATAAAGCTATGGTAAGCACTCTGATGGGGGATTCCAACTAAATCTATGTTAGTATAAAGCTATGGTAAGCACTCTGATGGGGGATTCCAACTAAATCTATGTTAGTATAAAGCTATGGTAAGCACTCTGATGGAAGATACGAACTAAATCTATGTTAGTATAAAGCTATGGTAAGCACTCTGATGGGGGATTCCAACTAAATCTATGTTAGTATAAAGCTATGGTAAGCACTCTGATGGGGGATTCCAACTAAATCTATGTTAGTATAAAGCTATGGTAAGCACTCTGATGGAAGATACGAACTAAATCTATGTTAGTATAAAGCTATGGTAAGCACTCTGATGGAGGATACCACCTAAATCTACGTTAGTATAAAGCTATGGTAAGCACTCTGATGGGGGATTCCAACTAAATCTATGTTAGTATAAAGCTATGGTAAGCACTCTGATGGGGGATTCCAACTAAATCTATGTTAGTATAAAGCTATGGTAAGCACTCTGATGGAGGATACCACCTAAATCTACGTTAGTATAAAGCTATGGTAAGCACTCTGATGGAGGATACCAACTAAATCTTTGTTAGTGTAAAGCTACGGTAAGCACTCTGATGGAAGATACCAACTAAATCTATGTTAGTGTAAAGCTATTGTAAGCACTCTGATGGAAGATACCAACTAAATCTATGTTAGTATAAAGCTATGGTAAGCACTCTGATGGGGGATTCCAACTAAATCTATGTTAGTATAAAGCTATGGTAAGCACTCTGATGGGGGATTCCAACTAAATCTATGTTAGTATAAAGCTATGGTAAGCACTCTGATGGAGGATACCAACTAAATCTATGTTAGTGTAAAGCTATGGTAAGCACTCTGATGGAGGACAAATCATGGTTATGTTATGATGCTCCTTCGTTTCAGAATCAAGTGGTCAGCTATGATGCACATCTTCTTGCGGGGAATGTTTGGAAGACAGTACCACGATTCACTGTGTCAATACCAGTAGGAGGCCAGAACATCAGAATTGTTAATAAGGACGTAGGTTTTTCATGTTCATAGGTGTCAACCTCTGAAAACTCTAATGAAGGTTATCTCCCTCTTTCTACAAACCGTAAGCGAGAAAGTGCACTGAAACTGCTTTGCTAAATTTACCTTATGCATCAAAACAACTCAATAACATATTCAGTTGATTCAGACACACCTGTCATGGTCTACACACCAACTGCAGTATGTAGGAGGTCATTTGACCACAGAATGTAGATTTTGAGTTTGTGTGAGTTTGGACTTGAATGAGGGAGATTGGTAAATTTTGGTCAAAATGGCGGAGTCTCCTGTCGAGGGTTTCCTGTAACCAGGCTCTTTAATTTTGGCTTTTTAGAACAGTAGCACTTTCATGAATGGCATCTTAACTGAACTGGGGTTAGCTGACTATCCAGCTTACGACTTGGTTCAAACAGAGTTCTGTTCCTGTCTGCAAAATTCTGACTGCTTTACAAAATTTATGTTGTTCAGATAATTTTAATAAGCCCAGTTAGTTTGAACGAGAGAAAACTATTTTAATTATGAAATAAATTAGTTTCATAGAATGTTAGTGGTTCTTTGGTTCTCGGGGTAATTTTCATTCCAAGTTAATTTCCTAATAATAAACAAAGTTTGACAAGTATTAATGATTCTTATGTTATCAGAACATGCTTTCTTTTTCAGTTAAATCAGAGACCATCTGTTCCAAACGTGGGTACGAAGCGGTCGATCCGGGATGCGTATTCTTCCGAAGAGGAGCATTTGCTTCATGACTTAGGGACAAACCATCCAGCAAAGATAAGCAGTAAAGTCCATTATCATCAGCCTAAATCTGAGGAGAGTTCCAAGTCCAGAGCTGAAGCATCCCAGCCAAAACCACCTCAGTCTTTCAGTTTTACATCAGTCAAATCTGTTGGAAATGATTCATCCATTGACGGAACAAAACCTGGGAAGATTATGGAAAATAGAAAACAGGGGCAGACAACTTGTCAGATGGTAAGGAATATTCGCTACAATTCATTTCAAGGGGTTTGTCATTAAAACCAATGTTAAAGAATTCTCCAAAAGAACTACTGTATACCAGGAATTTTTCGCCCAGTCAAGTTGTCACACTAAGGTGGTAAGATCCTTTTTCGCCAGGTGTCCTTCACATTTAATTACTTTTTAATTACTTTGCGTATTATGTTGTTTAAAAATGTTCTCTGTAATGAAAAATTTACTCTCATTACAGAGGGCGAAAAAGGCAAAAATTGAACTGCAGCAAAAAAATCGGTATACAGTACCACTTTACTGTTCAGGTGACATTTGTGAAGTGGGACATCAATATGAAGCTTTGCACATTCATATAATTGTTCAACTAATTAATATGTAATAATTCATTAATGAGGTACTGACATCCCTTATGTCCTCAAAAAGATACTCCTTTGAAGCTAGATCAAAGCTAGATGTCTGTCCCTTTTATCTTATTTCATGATAACTTAGGTTCGATATCTAAGTTCGATATAGCTGACTTAATACATTGAAGCATCTTATTCCATTAAATTCTTGTTTAAACACTACCAGTGAATGGTTTAGTTAAGATATTTAATGATGGCAAAGAGCCCGCTGTTATCTTAAAAATGGCCAGTTGGCCACTCAAAAAGTTACTCAATGTAAGTTTTCTGAATTCGAAGAAACAACAACAAAAATCACAGGTTTCCACTTATCAATATCCTCTTGTGAAGTTACTTTTACAGTATTTAATTAAGGCCCCAAACGAAGTCTTCCTCTTTCCGACACTTTTCTCAGAAACTATAAGTCGGATCTTCGCCAAACGTCGAGGGATTATTACTGATAGCCTCTAGATATGCAAACACTTTTTTGTTTTTCCAGATTACCATCCAAGATGGCCGCCATGAATTTTTAAATTTTTGAGAATTTAGAATATCTTAAGGTGTTCGCAAAAGATAGTCAATGTCACCTATCCTCTATCCTATTTTACATGTTTTATAGATATTTTCCCCAAATTTTGCATGTAAGTGTATGATGGTACCACAAACTCAACCATGACAATCCGTTTTCTAATTAGACAAAATGGCTGCCATATACTGGTTAATGATTGGTCGAAACTCGGTGTTTGTTTTCGATTTCGTTCATATTTAGTATGTATGTGTAATATGGCATTGCACACTCAACTGTGACATTTGTTTTCTAATTGGACAAAATGGCCACCATATACTGGGTTCTGATTGGTTGAAATTTAGATATTGTTTGATGTTTGTGAAAATTGGTTTACAGGGGTATTAAGAGACTGCGATTCAATCGCATAGGATATGTTGCCATATTAACCACACAGAGGCTTTTGATTGGTGGAAATTTAGAAAGTGTTCAATTTTGATGACAATCGATATATAGGGGTTATAAAGGACTGGAAATTCAATCGCATACCTTCGTTGCCATAGCAACCACACGGAGGCTTCTAATTGGTCGCAATTTAGAAATTGTTCAATTTCACTCAAATTTAGTATGTATAAAGGCATTGCGATCATTTTTCTGATGCATCTTTGCGACTATGGGGTAGTTATTGTTCGATTTTGATTAAAATTGGTAATATGAGTATTAGGGGACTGCGAATTCAACCTTATAGGTTTCGTTGCCATAGCAACCTCATAGCAACCATTCAGGCTTCTGATTGTTTAAAATTTAGATATTGTTTGATTTTTATGAAAATTGGTATATAGGGGTATTAGGGGACTGCACAATTAGTACTTGTTCCAACTAACCTAGAAGGCTTTTTATTATCTGAAATGTTGAAATGATTTGTTATTGGTTTTACAGGTTAAAACAGAGATCACAGATGTCACCAATCCAAAAGCTGACCAGGCACCAGTGATGAATATGGATGATATTGATGATGATGTCTCCCTCCCCGAATTTCCGAAAACTCCACCACTCAAACCACTTCACGTAACTGATAATACAACACGAAGTGGAGGTGATCCAGCTTCCGACCGTGTGAAGAAGGAAATCATTGTGCAATCAGATAATTACGCTAACAGTCAGGTGTTGTGTAAGGGAGGGTCAAGTGCTGCTATGGAGATCGTTTCACAGACTTTCAACAAAGGTCCTATGTCAGTTTCAAAAGATTCGAGAAAGGTGTTGTCAAGTGACCCTCTCTTTGCTGAAGATTTAAATAGACCTGCTCTTTCAACAAGTCTCTCTGTAACGCAAAACACTAAATTTACCACATTCTCAAATGGACCAACAAGTGTCAGTGTCACTGCACCACAAGACAGTAGCTTAACCACATTCCCAAATGGACCGACAAGAGTCACTGCAGCTCAAGACAATAGCCTTACCACATTCTCAAGTGTTCCGACTATTGTCACAGGAACACCTTGCAGCAGCATTACCACATTCTCAAGTGGACCACCAGGTGTTACTATAAAGACACAAACGAGCAGCATTACCACATCCTCAAATGGACCAACAACAGTCTCAAGTGTACATACCCCTTTACCTGTCTCGCATATTCCAGTGTCTTCCTGCAATATGACACATTCAAGAAGCATTATCACAAACCAGGTCCAAACTTCCAACAGACAGAATGTAGCATCTCAGCTAGCCCAATTGATGACTGGAAATCCCCTATTGGCCACACCCAGAATCATTCCTGGGCAACAAGGGGTGGCGCTGCTCTCCCAGGTTCATCAAGCAAATGTAACGCCCTACATGCAGATTCGTCAACCTTCACCAAGCTTACCTCCTTACCCCCTTGTCCGGCAAATCCAGCCAAGCATTATTCCATATTCCCAGGTTCTTCCTGTCCAGCCCAGTATACTGTCCTACCCTGTAGTGAGAACATCGCTTCTACCTCAGCCACAACCTATGGCGAAGATTCCCACATCAGTATACCAGGGCAATCCACTTTTTCAATCACCTCAGACTTCTCCATCCCTGGGTTTGTTATCTAGACAGGGTGATGTCTCTTCAACAGCTGGTCAAATGAACACCTCATCAGTACCTATTCCAAACAAATCTTCAGTCCCACTTGGACAAACATCAAATCCATCCGGACAACCTTTAAATATACCTGAACAGATACATTCCACAGCAGTACAAGGACAAATGAAAGGAAGCTCGTCTGTACCATCTTCAAGTGCACCATCTTGTCCTGTCACAAGCACTATTCAAACTACTAAACCTTCGGGTAAAGTTAATGGGCCATCCGTCGACCCTGATCTTTACCAGGCTGTGATTAATCAACTACGACAGGCTTACCCGCAAATGGCCACTGATCCTGTGTGGCTTGAAACGGTTGGTGCGCAACAGACTCTGGTTTTACAGAACTACATAGATGCCAGCAAAAACACAGCTCCAAATAAAGATGCAGATGATACAACCCCACAGGCAGCAAATTCTAGCAGCAATAATTCAAGCTCAGAGAGTCAGAGGAAAGAAGATTCTTACAAACTACGTACATATCCAAAATCTAAAGTGCCAAATGGTGACATTTCCCAAAGTGAGGTTATCACGAAGCAGCAATCTGTGATTGATGAACCTTGTTTGACGAACAATGCAAGTGTGGTACCTCGCCGGCCACCAGGATTGGCAAGTTTGACAGACACTGACAACTCACTCAGTCAAAAGTTTGAGAATATTCCAGACTTCAGCATGAAAGATTTGGATGGAGGGGCCAAAGGTTTGGTGAAAACAATCAGTGATTTGACAAAACTGACAGGAAATGAGTCCAAAGATATTTTACCAAATGAACAAAAGCTGACAGAAGACGATAGAACAGTGGTTCTCAAAAGTTCTATGGAAAGTAAACTCTCCCAGAAACCAAAATCACTGTTGGACAATTTCAAGCGTGTTGAGATTCCTGTGGTTCATGAACCAAAGGTGTCGACTGTATACCCAGATATGTTTGAAAAACAAGATTATTCCACTCAAAAAGACATGGATCTGTACACCATACATTCCAACCACTCTCACAACAGATCAAAAAGGATACCTTCTCGACAGAGGCCTACATCTGAAAGTGACAAAGCAAGCGGGGAAGCCCTCAGAAATCCTTCACCAAAATCTGTGGGCGGGGAAAACTGGGAAAATGAGGTAGATCAGGACCCTAAACCATTTCGTCATGATTTCCGAAAAGTTCGACCAGCTGAGAAAACAAAGTCCTCTTGGATGTCAGAAATGTCCAAGACTAACATGCCTCCTGGTTTGCCTTTAAAAAAGCCTACAGTGAAGACCACAGAAGGTAAGAATGATTTGTGGGATGCTCCAAGATTAGGTCAGGGTTCTTCAGGTTCTAACATAACATCCACAGTTAGTTACAGTCGGAAGGTCGAGCAATGGCTTAATTTGAACCAGCCTTCCACAGACAATGTTCTGGTGAGGAACAAGAGTCCCGAAGATTCAGAAACAGGGGACCAATCTGGGTCTTTGTACAGCTCCTGTGGAGGATCTACACCTAGAGGAGACGTCAGGAATCTGGATAGCTTTGACTTGGCGGCTGATAAAGATGTAGGAGAGGGTAATTTATACCATTCCTGCTTTGATTTGTACCAGTAGTATCTAGAATGCACAGGACCATGTATAGTTTGTAGTTAGCCCTGGAACACTAATTTCTAGAATGCATGAGGGAATGTATAGCTTGGAAGTTTGCCTTTGAGTTCTAATATATAGAATTTACCAGGCTTTGTAGAGCTTGTAGTTTGGCTTAGAGTACTAATATATAGAATTTACCAGGCTTTGTAGAGCTTGTAGTTAGGCTTAGAGTACTAATATCTAGAATTTACCAGGCTTTGTAGAGCTTGTAGTTAGGCTTAGAGTACTAATATCTAGAATTTACCAGGCTTTGTAGAGCTTGTAGTTTGTCTTTGAGCACTACTAATATCTCGAATTTAAGGGACTTTTTTTAATTTGATCTTGCAATGGTCATAATGTTGATGGGGTTCACTATGGAAAACTGGGGGTATTGTGTTAAAAGTCTACTCTTCATATATGCCTGCTCAAATTGTCACCAAATTTGTTGAAAATCACCAAAGGTGCAAAGCGATATTTTCGTTAATGAAGATTTTGGTCAACCTGGGTGTAGAGGGGTTGAGCCAAACAGGGAAGTTTTGGGTTTTGATTTAAAAACCTACTCCTATTCGCATCATGGATTGTAACCATTTTAATTCTGAACCATAGCTGATGCATGGTGATCAGTTCTTTTGATAAATGACCATAATGCACCCCTAGGGACAGAAAATGGCGAATAATTTTTCTGCTCAAATAAAGTTTGACTAAATTGGGTCTGCTTAATCTCACTGGCCCATTTGCTTTTGTATATTTCAAAATGATAGCCTGTCAAAATGCTTCTCAATTGTTGATGAGCTTTTTCTCTGGCAACAGGAATGGAAGAGTTCTCTTTCCTGCCCTGGAGATCTAGATAGGCTAAAGAAATTCCGCTCTTCCAAGTTAAGGCAAAACGCTTGGCTTCAGGTTTTATTTAGTTTAAAAATGTCTGTGGAATTTCACTATCCTACATTCCTGGGAATGAAAGCGTCTGATGTGTATTTGATATAAGGTCTAAGAATTTGCACTCTTGTCAATGGTGAACTGTACATGTATGTGTACCACCATTGACGGAGTACAAATTCTAAGATCTTGTATCATATATATATATATATTTACATGGTACACATTCAGTTTACCATTGTGTATGTAGATCTTTGCTTGAAGCTTAATATTTTTTTATTTATGTGTTTTAAACATGTCTTGGCTTTCATGGATTGAATGATCCATATATGTATTCGTAACTAATTTCCATTTATCTAATTATATATATATATATTATCATGATATGAAAAATGCTTCATGCTTGTCAACCTTTCAAAAAAAAATCATGGGGAGAAAGTGTGGTAAAATCTATGAATGCCTTAAAAGTACAGTGTCCTTAAGTAACCACTGTTTGACTAAATAATGACGTAAAATGCAGGAGTTTATGCTATGCAATGTTTTTAATATAATCAAATTTGAGCAAAAAGCTAGATAAAGGACTATAGAATTCTTTTGATTTCACAATTTAAAAAAAAAAGTAATAGCATGAAAAATGAAAAAAGTAAGGAGACTTGGCAAGTGTGATACATTTTATTGCTTTGATAAGTATTTGAATTCCTGCTGTCCAGAATCTCAACTTTCATGGAATGGAAAATTCTATCTAATGAAAAGCTTAACACTACATATATAAAAGTGATACTTATGGTTTGATAAAATTTCAATAAAGATTATCCATATTTTTTCAGAGCGAATGTACCTAATTAACTGTACTGATGAGGTTAATGCTGTAAGTTAATAAAGAATCTGAAAAAGTGAATGATTCTCTAATCACAAAAAAACCCACCCCATAATAGTTGAAAATTCCAGGTGTTCTGATGAAATTGGGACTCAACAATATTTTAAAACCAAAGAACTTTCCTGTATGCCATAATGGTGTTGATTTTGATTGTGCCTGTCAGTGTTGTCAAATTGAAAATCCATCACTTATTGTATGTAAAGAGAATGGTTACAATTGATAACAGTGGTCAATGTCAGTGGAGTTTTTACCTCAGAACAGATACTGCGAATTAAGTACTTTTGTTGAGCTGTTGATTTCTGTTTTCTTGCAAAATTTAGTATGTCTGAGGAAATGAATAAATGTGGGAAATTTTTCCAAGCATTTGATCTAGAGATACATATTTCTTCTAAAAGGTGTATCAATAGACAGAAAATACATCTGAACTATAACAAATGATCTGTGTGTGTATGTTGTTGGATACACTTACCTAGACAGAGCTTCCTCTGGTGCTAACACCAGACTTTACAGAAAGATAAGACATTTATCTGGTAAAATATCTCAAGTCTAGGGTCACTTCTGACTAGGCAGGTACCGGTACATTCACTTTGTTCAATTATATATTCTGGTCACAAAATGGTTTGTAACAACTTTGATTAATATCAATGAAATTCAATGCACCATAAAAGTAGCGTATTTCACAGTATCTTCTTTTGGCGAAAGTAGCATGACTGGTGCATTTTTCTGTGTTTATTCATGATGCCAGTAAATGACAAATTTCAAGTTGATTGTTATGAATTCTTAAATGACTGCAAGACAGATGCAAACTAGTAAATTAGAATAAAAATAAATGGCTTCATGTCAAACTTTTACTCATTCACCCCTGAAGTTTCATAATAAACTATTCCAACCTTTGAATTGGAGGACTTCAAATGTGTCTACAGTAGTGAATGAGTTTATATGTGAAAATAGGTTGAGTTAGAATTATTTCTCTAAATTAAAATTGATCCAATTGACCACGCCGTATTTCACAGGTATGAACAAAGAGGGGACATCAGGAATGTCCGTCATACCTCTCGCTTCAAAGGGGCTAAAGACGACTGGTGATCTAGACAATATTTCTGATGGGGAAGGCGAGAGTTGGCACCAGGTAAATAACACATTAAGTTGTGCAACATTTATAATGAATTATTCTTATACATGTCAAATTGAGCATTGTTTTGAATTTTAAAGTTGTTGAAAGGCTGATTAAATCGCTAAAATTGTAACCATCATATATAGATCACCTGGCACCTTGACTAGGGATATTGGGTATTGCTAGCAATTTTCATTTGGCAATATATTGCAATATTGCAATGTATCACTATATATTGTAACCCTAGAATTTAGTACATTTATAATGATTTTAAACACCAGTAGAAAATACCAAGCGAGCATCGGGTAATTAATGAAAATTGGAAAATTATATTGAGCTTTGGTAGACATCAAACCAAGCATGCTGCATTTGGATAAAACTTTTTTAATCTTAATGTTGCAACACAATTAGTTCATAACTTTGTTCAAACCCCCAAACAATTAATTGAAAACATTCAGTAAGATATTGCCATTTCATAATCATATTGCAATAATATAGACAAATATTGCAATATATTGGTACTGCAATACTGCAATATCATTGCTCAAATACTGCAATATCATTGCCCAACCCTGCCCTGGACTATTTGATCACCAAGTTTTCAAATGAAAAAAAACACCCAATTGATCAAGATCTTAAGGTTTTATATTATGACATTTAATAATCCCTTCTTAAAGTTATTATATAATTTGTACATCAGTTTTAAACTGAAGCATTTATAAATACAATGGATTACTGCAACTTAGACAATCATTTCAAGCTTTGGAATTAAAGCAAAAAATAATTGGTACCCGGTAAACAAAAATCATTGACCTACATCGATGGTACGACGAGTTAAACTTTTATAAGTCATCACATGCACAGGGTGTTGTGAAAGTGTGACACGTCTGCATTAAATGTGATATAATTTAGTCAGGATGATCTTTAAATGTTATCAAACTATATCCATTGGCAGGTTAGCAAAAAGAAAAAGGAGAAGAAGAGAACTGAAGCTGAGCGACCTAGGCGGAAGTCAGGTTCAGATGTGTCTTCGTCGAAAAGCAATAATTTTGAAAAGTTGATCACCAAGATGTCGGAAGTCTTCTCTACACTCAGCAGGTAGGTGAACGTGGCTATTCTATGATGTCGGTGATTATTTTTGATAAGATCTGTCTGGTTTAATAACTCAGAAAGTCAATACTCTGCAAGAAGCCCAATGTGTTCCCTGACTAAACTATATTGCTAATGGTACAGCACTTGTAACTCGTTATGATATTTATGTCACCGTCATGTTCTCCGATATGCTATACCATTATGGAGATATGTGACTTTTTTTTTAACTTCAATTTGTGTAGAGAGTGTATCACTAAATCTCTCAAGGTGCACACTATATTCACAGAAATGTCTTCTTCATATTAATCACTCTTGTTGGCCTGGATGTTAACACGGGGGGGGGGGGGGGGGGTCGGGTTTAAATGTTTGAGGAAACTGGAGTATCCAGAGAAAACCCATGTGACCGGGCAGAAAACCCCATACCTTTTCACGTCATATTGGTAATTGGAACCCAGCCGCCTTGGTGAAAGGCGAGTGCGTTATACACTGCGCCAACCAACCTTCTGCATCAACTCTGATGTCATAAAGCATGACATCAAAATTAGCTTTCTATTGGAGATAAATAGTGCAAAACCTGGAAAGAAAACAGAAATCTGTTGTTATACGCCCGTCAAATTTGACGGGAGTACTATGGTATAGCGTCGTCCGTCTGTAAAACTTTTGTTTGTCCGGCAATCTCCTCCTACATTTTCCGACCGATCTCTTTGAAACTTGGTTTATATTATAATCATGATATGTTGTTGTGTCTCTCCATTAAAAGAATTTCGATTCAACAATTTTTCCAAAAGTTATTGCCCTTTGTTCATTTCAGTATTTGATTTTTTGGCCGGAGATCTCCTACATTTTTTGACGGATTTCTTTGAAACTAAGTAGGCTAAATAATCAAGATATGTTGATGTGTTGTTTCCTTGAAAAGAATTTTAATTCGATAATTTTTGCAAAAGTTATTGCCTTTTGTTTATTTTGGTATTAAGTTTTTGTCCGGCAATCTCCTCCTTCATTTTTCAACGGATCTCTTTGAAATTTGGTATACATTGTAATCATGATATGAAGTTGTGTCTCCATGAAAAGAATTTTGATTTTTGCGTAGTTATTGCCCTTTGTTCATTTCAGTAATTGATTTTTTGTCCAGAGATTTTCTCCAACATTTTTTATATGTCAGCATGTCAGCTAACCACTCTTAGAATGATGCAGATCTTATTTCAATGTAAGAAAGTATATATAACACTACATGGCATTCGACGGGCGTATATTGTTCCGCCCCGCGGTACTCTTGTTTTTGAACATGTCATTAGATATGATAATTAGGAGAACAAAATAATTGTCTGATACACTGGGTAAAGAACATTTTTCAGAAATTTCAACTCTCAGCTTGTGGCTCTTAAAAGCCTCAGTTTAGACATTGAAGAAAGCCTCAGGTTAGACAATGAAGAATATTTCCCATTAGGTTAAAAAAAAATCTCTGGTGTACCCTTACTTAGAGAGGTAATGGATTCTATTATTTAAAGACAATAAAACATATTGACTATGACAGTTATTATGAATTAAAGCTTATTTCATATTTATGTCCCCTGGTAAGAAATTTGTTCATGATCATTGTAACACTCCACATAATTAATCACCCTGTTTTACTGTACAGAACAAATATCTAGTGAAAGCGAGTTATATATGTGCCTTTTGTTTTGCTAAGACAAATTACAAGTTAAGTGAACATTGCTGGTTTCCTATGTATGTACAATGTAGTCGCTTGGTTTGATGGCATCATGTGACAAATCATTAAACCTAATGGTCACAGCAATACATATTTATTTCCAGGGAACGGATAATTCAGTTGATCACAGAAGTGAGAAATGAAACCAAGGGACTCAGTGGAATGAATATGAAGCAGATAATTGACTTGTCGAGACAAATCTTTATCAGTAAGCGACACTACTACCAGACAGACCCAAAACAGGTAACTCAGAAGTAATAAATACACGAGCACGAAGACATAGTAAAGCATCTCATCACTGGGAGCCAGTGTTTCTTGAGAAAAGTTGTCGGGGGCGGCATATGGAGTTAGATCCAAGTAGCAAAGATCAGTTATGACAATACCTTGAATGAGTTTGTATATCAGGGTTCCATTCAAAGGTAAAGGCCAAAGGCACCATTGCTTTTATACAAATTTAAGACCAGTTACATGGTAATGACATCACTCAAGAAAGTTAGTTTCTTAGGAAATTTTTATCAAACTTTATACGATGGTCAAGAATGAGAATACTTAAGAGTGAGTATGTATTTCAGAGTTTCAAGGTTGACAGAACTATTCATTGAAATTTTCAAATACCCACTTTTGCATGGAGCTGGAGGCATTCGTATCTTGCAAACATTTTATAGTGTATCCTGGTGTCCAACTATAATCCAGTCAGTGTTTATGGGGTCATTGGGGTCAGATTTCCATTTTCTATGCAGATCCATTTGGGTCAGAATCTTCTAGCCTGGTAAAGAGGGTGTCTTGATAAATAAAGTCTGACTGTATTATTCAAAAAGATTTGTTGCAAATTTGTTCTATGTTAACATATTTCTTCCTGAACAGAGACACTCGTCTGGTGGAAGCCCCGTCCCTACCTCTCAGAAAGCCAACAAGCCGGTACCCCTTCCCATTGTTGGGATGGCGCCCTTGCCTGGGCCAGGGAAGACATTTAACTTCAAGCCATTGTCCATGAGTGTGATCCAGGTACTGTCATGTTGATGTATTCACAGACTTTTGTCAGCTGATCACAATTGTAAGATCCATTTGTTTAGAGAAATGTTCATTTACAGATTTAAATTTTTAAAAAATACATAGCTAACAAAGTATTCAATAAAACTAAACTTAACTCATACTGGTTGATATTTCAGACAATTATCAGTTTCATTGCCAACACAGACTTTTCACAAGTGGGCGAGTGGCTTAGCCTCCATCACTGGGTCACAGGTTCGAGGCCTGCATGGGGCAGGTATTCTCCCCAGGTCGGTGGGTTTTCTCCGGGTACTCTGGTTTTCCTCCACCACCAAAACCTGGCATGTCCTTAAATGATCATAGCTTTCAGTTGAACGTAAACACAACGAAAACAACATTGAACATTACTGAAATCAAACTTTATATCAATTTACATTCCAGCTAACAAATTGCATGATAAACAGTGCAGTGTTATACTATACCAGTGGAAATAAAACATTAACAAGTTTCAGGTGTAGTGTAAGTTTATATCCAGTAAAAATAGGCAGAATCTCTTCATTTATCGGTTTCAATAGGGAATACATTTTGGGATTACATTTTCTGTACTTGTTCACAATCCTCAAAATACCAAATTACAGGGATATAATATAGGATCAATGAGTATATTGTCTATGTTTTTACAGCCATCCAAAGATTTGCCGTTGATGGACGATGAAGAGGAGATCTGTGTTATTTGTCATGATGCTCTCATCATGGAGGAGATCAAAACTCTTGAGTGTGGCCATGTCTTCCATTCAGATGTAAGTAGGATGTGATTTTGCATCGTGTATATTGTATAAGAAACTCCTTTCAAATTAGTTGATTATGACATCACGTTATATATATGCTTGAAGAATCTGAGCAATATTTAAAAAAAAATATGGAGGAGGGTAGTATATTTTATCAAATAAGATATTTTAAACACTTTAAACTTTTTGTTGTATAAAATCTTCAGTTTTCTGTTTATTTTCTAAAATACATGTACTTTGTATCTTGAATTTATAGGATTTCCTTTTGCCCAATATATCACATGTACAAATCACCTGTACATGTTTACATTATGAAACAATAGTAATTTTTAGGTCACCTGAGACAAAGTCTCAAGTGACCTATTGCGATCGCCTTTTGTCCGTCGTCGTCTGTTGTGCGTCCGTAAACAATTTACATTTTCGACTTCTTCTCCAAAACCTCTGAACCATATTCAATGAAATTTTGCAGGGACCTTCCATGGACAAAGGTCAACAAAAATAGTGTCCGGTTTAGTCCCAATCCCCAGGGGCCTGAGGGGCGGGCCAAAAAGGGTCAAATTGACTAAAATTTCAAAAATCTTCTTTTCAAGACCCAGATATGGTAGAATCAAATACTCTTCATATATGGAAGGGTCTTAAGGTGCTTTACCAAAATTGTGAATTTCTTGACCCTGGGGTCTCACGTTTCCCCCTGGGGAGGGGGTAAACTTTACTATAGTTTATATAGGGAAATCACATTTCGGACCAACATTTGTTTAATTTCCATTGGAAGTAATTCAATTTGGGTTAGCATTATCAGTATTAGGTAGCAGTTTGATAGTATGCACCTATGAGCCCTGACTGACCCCCAGGGGCTGATGGGTGGGGCCAAAAAGGGTTGAATTGACTGAAATTTCAAAAATCTTCTTCTCAAGACCCAGATATGGTAGAATCAAATACTCTTCATAGATGGAAGGGTCTTAAGGTGCTTTACCGAAATTGTGAATTTCTTGACCCTGGGGTCTCACGTTTCCCCCTGGGGAGGGGGTAAACTTTACTATAGTTTATATAGGGAAATCACATTTTGGACCAACATTTGTTTAATTTCCATTGGAAGTAATTCAATTTGGGTTAGCATTATCAGTATTAGGTAGCAGTTTGATAATAAGCACATATCAGCCCTGACTGACCCCCAGGGGCTGATGGGTGGGGCCAAAAAGGGTCGAATTTACTGAAATTTCAAAAATCTTCTTCTCAAGACCCAGATATGGTAGAATCAAATACTCTTCATAGATGGAAGGGTCTTAAGGTTTATGACCCTAGGGTCTCACGTTTTCCCCCCTGGGGAAGGGGGGGGGGGGGGCAAAATTTATTATGGTTTATAATGGCAAATGATACTTTGAATATTACATGTTAATAACTTGATTGGAATTATAACCTTGAGTTGACAGTTTGATACTTTGAAAATTTTGAGCCAGCCCTACCCCCAAGGGCTGTAGGGTGGGGCTCAAAGGAGTCAGTGTGCTAAAATTTCTTCATTTTCCTTGTTTAGAATCAGAGGTGCTAGTTTCAAATACTTTTTAGTCTGAAATCTGTAAGCTAGATATTGAATAAGGTGGTTTAATTGTTTTTTGTCACTTTGAATAATATTTCTGTTCATGTTAATAACAAAATCAACTCTCTGTATAAATATATCAGGTGACTGTTAAGGCCCATGGGCCCCTTGTTCATTTAATGGACCTGATGGTTCATTTTCATACATTGGCTTACACCAAGCACTTGTCCTTCACAGGCTAAGGTTTGTCATGTTATGACATGGGAAAAATTAACATTAAGTGTTTTAAACCAAATTTCTTAAAAAGTCAAACACATGCACATCACCTTAGTTTCCAACTTAAATAATTTATTTTGAATTTTAAAAAAAATGGATCTGTTAAATGTTGATTCTCATTATATCACATTATCCTCTGATGAATTTATAACACATAAGAGTATTTTTTACAAGCTACCAGATATGAGATCATAATGACAGAAATGGAAAAATTAACTAGTAGAAGCTTTCAGAAGTTAACTGACTAACAGATTAAAAATTGACTGTAAATATAATATGCTTACAAAGCATAAGACTAAATGTTTGAGTTTGTTTCCTCCAGTGTATCAAGCAGTGGGTATTTGGCCAGGAGAGAACATGTCCAAACTGTCGACGCCTCGCCCTGTTCCCAGAGGAGTTTCCACGGCTCGGCAAGTGACCTGACCTTGATAATGTTATCTGAAATGGACCATAACTCATTAGAAAATCCTGCGACTTTGAAATTCACTGGAATCTTGTTACTGTCACAGAAGTTTTTGACCGATACTTCCGTTATGATCATCTGGCACCATGGCAACGGGTATAAACTTACCACAATCTCAGTGACTGATGTGGGAATTGAAGGGTCTACAAGTGGAACCCTCATTCCTTTAGAAACAGTGGATGTGTGTTAATTCACGAATGGAAATTTGATCGAAAAGCAATTTTATTTTGTGGGTGTGGTAAATAAGAAATATTGGTTATATAGGAATTTGTAATCAAATGAAAATGTAGACATGCCAACATGGTGTGAACTTTAATTTTTAATTGTTAAAGAGTCTGTTCAGTTTCTTGTGACTAGAGTAGGCCACAGGGTGTGTCGCCCATTCTAGTGCTTTTTGTGATGATGGGAACAAATACTGCCGAATATGCTTTTAATGATAAAATGTTTGTGATTTGTCTGTGTTATCCAAGTTTATATTTTTTGCATTCAAATAATCTTGTCGTCTTCGATTCACATACAAACATGTATATACATCGGTATTCATTCATGTAACTTAAGTATGAAATTACATTTAAATATAAACATGTTCGTTATCATACAAAAGACAGTTTTGTTAAAATGTAGCTTTAAGGTAAGCTGACAATCTTTTATCGTGGGTTAGATAATAAATAATGTATGTTTCAATAAATTTTAAATTTCAAAAATGTTTGAAAAGAATAAATCTTCAACAATTGCAATTTTTGGGGGGTATATATTTAAGATAAATGAATTTTCAAGGCTTACTTTGTCTTGAGAGATGTACTGTGCATTTTCACATAGCTGGTTAGACTAATATATATTTCATATGTAATCATAATCAAGTTAAAGAATATTTTGTAATGTTTACTGTTATTAAGTATAACTACTTAACACTTTCCGTTCTTTTTCTCTTTTCCATGGAACGCTGCAGGCCTTCGGATCAATTAAAAATTCATAATTGATTATTATAACGGATTAAAATTTTATATTAATGTAAGATCTAAAGGTTGTTAGTTCTGAACTTGGAACTTCCCATGTATACGTTTCAAAGTAGGAAATCAAATAAAATGTTAGTGCCAGTGCTGTATAGTGTATACATAAACTATTCTAACCTGTCTGAAGCATCAGTACAGACACAAGATTACTTGTCATGTGTGAAGATAAATATTTGAAATACCAGGACAAAACTGTCTTTTATAATGTTTTTTTTTTAATCAGAGGCAACTTGCCTAATGTTACCTGTTTCTAGACCTTCCCTTCTAAAAAGGTTCTTTATAACATATCGGATATTATTAAGATAGCGGTTTTCATTAGGAGGATTATCTCCCCTCGTTTGAAACCAACTTGCATAATATACTAAAGGTCTCTCAACTTCTTAACAAGTCACTGTATATAACATAGGTTTGAATGTGGGTTGATATTGATTAAGATATGTGTTCATTTAGAGATTTATTGACAACAAGTCAGATCTGTTGAGTATCCTGTTGTGTTCAATCAGATTTAATGTCTCAGGTTAAGTTAGATCTGTTGTTTACTAAATAATTATGTGTTCAATACGAAATGCTAATTATTATTATTTTTGTTTTTAATATAATGTGTTCAGCCACTTGAAAATTATGTTGCAAAACTGTTTCATTATTACTACGGATGATATTTGTTATAAATGTATATATTTGTTGTTTCTATGCATTTTGCTTTATTGTAGTTGCTATTTTCTCTGTTTATTTTTGTACACATTTATACTACTGTTTTTATCCTAATAATCATTTTGTTTAATAGCTTGTATTTTTACAGTAGTGCATTTTCAATATTTATCCTTAGGGCTGTTCCATTAAAATGTTTATGATGGGGATTGGCATTTAACAAATATGGTCGGGTTATTTTTACTCTATTACAAATCAGTTATGTAGTATACTGCTGGTTAGTGCCTTTAACTCATTCACCCAGCCCTGAAGACACATTTGAACTCTTCCATTTCAAAGGTTGGAATAGATCATTATGAAATTTCAGGGGTGAATGACTTTAATATGAAACATGTTGTCAGACTCGATGCAAAAATGTTGCTATGTAGATTATGTTTACCTAATGATGGACTGGTACATACCACCCGCAGGATAGGATAAAAAGTAAATAAAACTTCAACAAACTTCATTTGTTAAGCTATCAGCTGACAGTAATGGTAGTTTAGTTTTATTTGAGAGAAGAGTCACAAGGGGATATATACTGGAGGATGTCTTTAGTGTGTCGTACCACATCTGAATTCATTTAAATGTACACTGCTGGAGTGTCGGACTCAACCAAGAAAGCATCAAGGGTTAAATATATACAGCTAGGGACGTCCCAATACAAACAAACAAAATTAACTTGTTACAGTCAATATGCATATGAACTCAATGACTCAGATTAAAAGGAAGAAAACTATTGGTATGCTCGACAGTGATGGAAGAAAAGGTACCAAATGTGTTTTATTTTTTAGCATGTTTTCCGAGTATATTGAGTGATAAATTTGACCATGTGATAACACCAATGTGAAGATAAGAAGAGATTATCAGGCCCTAGTTAGTAGTATATGGGTACGATAAATACAATGTACTGCCATCACCATTTGATTGTAGATATTGTGGATGGTGTTGGTTTTGCAGACTCTGAGCTGTACATCAAGGTTAACAGATATTAACATTAACTATTGATAGACAGTATTTACGGATGTCAACCTTGCTTAAGTTGCTTATCCCTTGTCCCATACCATGTTTTAATGGAACAGCCTCAAGTTCAAAATTCGTATAATTTGTTATATTTTTTTTACATGCAAATTCCTTTCACACCAAAACAAAAAGATAAAAAACCTAGAAAATGTCATGACAGATGTATCAGTGGGAAAACTGTTGATATTTGAGTTATTTACATTACATTTCAAGCTTGTGAAGACATGAACATATATCTTGTCGGCTGGTTGTTAATCTTATATGTTTAGTTAGTGTAAATGTGAAATCTTAAGAGATCATGCGTAAATAAAGAGCATGCTCTATACAGACCCATCGGGATGATAGAACTAAAACAGGTTGTGACAATCATGTTGTACCACTCCAGAAAGTTATTTCAGACATGCCAGACGTTTCCAGTCACATTTGTCTTAGGATAATGATTTTGCAAATTGTTTTGATCTGTCAACTTTGGTTGGGGAGTACCTTGTACCCTCTCAATGATGAAGTTTGTTATCACTATTTCTTTTGAGAAAGAAAGTTACAGATCTTTTTCCAACCTCATGTGTAGGTTGTTCCTTTTCTTTTCTTTTGCATACATTTCATTTTCTTGCTTCAAGCTGCTTATCGGAAGAAAAAAATAACTCCCAGAAATTGAAATCTCTCTGGGTCTAGTTTTGACAAATTAACTACTGTGCAATTACTGTAAGTAAATAAACTTTAATAGGACAGTTAATTTGATGTTTAAACATTTTTTGTTATCACTACCTCTATAGAAGTATTAGACAGATCTTTAACAAATTTCATGTGCAAGTTCTCCTTGGTTGTTGTGCATGTTTTATTTTGAAACTGATCACAAGAACAATTTAGATTGCTTTGGTTATTTTTTGGAATTTTAAGTACATATCTTGCTCAATTTTTATTTGTAGGCCCTTTCTTTTTTTTCTAGTTTTGCATGTTTCACTTTAAGCTTGCTGAGAAGAAAAAGATGGCTGCCAAAAAAGTGCCAATATCCTCCATGGAACCTCTTGTTCCCATGATACATTTATTTTTGCTATCTTTTTCAATGTCCGGAAAGAGTCCATACAATAGTATGGTCCTAATCACCTCGTCACAAACATTAGTAATGGCAATCAGAAATATCTAGTCAGTGATAACAGGTCAGATTACTTTTATTTGAAGGTATCATCAAGTCAATGGTTTTGTCAGTTTTCTGTAGAAACTTGTTACACAACTCTTTTTGTGACTATACATGTATTATGTACATACATTGTAGATTCATTCATGCGATGAATTTGATCTTACTTGTCTGTGTCAGCATTTTCTTACAATTATAAAAATGTTTCATATGTGTTTTATAAATGTAAATACATAATGTAATAATTCTTTGTCCGAAAACCTTTTTTTTTTAAACCACTTGTGTTCCTTTAAATAATTATCATGATGAAAAATCTTTTAGCTCTGAAGAAATTTCCGTTTTGTGTGTGTATTTCTCTTTATTGTGTACGTAAGTTTGTGTGAGAAACATTTTATTAGGATGAAGAGTGTTCGATAGTTAAACACTGGCCTTCAGAGTTAAGTGGTACTTCATTGTGTTGGTTACTCCTTGGTATTATTTGAAGTATACAGGATGTATATACATGTAACATCATATTAACTTGTTTCAAATGATACTTGTTTGCAATAAAACTTGTCATTGAAGTTATATATACTTTGTTGAAATTTTCATTGAAATATTTTCCTCAAAAGTCCGTTATCCAAAGACTTTAAAAATGTCTTTAAACACTTCTTAAAGGTTTTACACAGCGGCCTTGAATTTTATTCATTATTTTATCTCTCCTGATGAGCATGTCGCAAACAACAGGAGATGTTTAGATCAATACATAGAAAAAAATGCTTTCCTCCAGTGATTATGAAGTATGTATACTTTCTGGGAAGCATACCAAATGGCTGTGTTAGTCCAAGTAAATCAAGGGACATAACTCCCTAAAAAGCAGTTGCAATTCACAGGTATTAATTTTCATTGAAATCGACAAAATATTTGACTGGTCTGGAAAAAATATTCCCCCCCCCCCCCCCCAAACTTCACAGGTGCATCCCCATTTTTCGCTAGGGAAAAGATCAACAAGTCTTTACCTACCTCGGGAAAAGACAGCTTACATGGGCTTTTATTCTGAAAGCATCACCATTGCATTATCTCTTTGTTACTGTGACAATAACATCAATTTTGTTAAACATTTAATGTACCAAAGATGATGGTGCTGGGCACAAGATTCACCATGAAAACTTATTTTTACAGTAGGAAGGTGTGGACCCTGCCTCTAACACACATACATGCACACACAACACACATGGAGGCACCACCTTATATGACCTTAGCTGTTAATAGGATGTTAAACCCTGATAACCAACTAACTAGAAAGGAGAAAAACAAGTGACAAATATTTCGTATATAGTAATAGACCTTTAACCTTTATACCAGGACCCTGAAACATGAACAGTGATCAACACTTATATGAAGTATCTTATCAAGAATGAAGGTCACTGGTGATGGTGCATATAATTGTCTGGGAGGTTATGGTGCCTATTTCTGTTTTTATTCAATTTGAGTAATAACACTTCAAGTCAATAAGAGGCAATCCTTGGAATTTAATTGATGTGAAAATTAACTACCTTTGTTCAAGACCATATTCTGTGCTACCAAGCTTTAAGCTGCAATCTGAAAGGCTGATTTTAAAGGAAGCTTTGATTACCAGATGTCAAGAATTATGCCATGACCACATTATATAAAAAGCAGGATGATACGAAAATAATTCAATTTCTAATCAAATTGGATTCAATGAAAGTAAAAACTACTAAATTTTGTCTATTTTACTTGCACATTAAATTGACCAGATTCAGAATGCCCATGCACATTTTCAGAAATGCAGGGAAAAAAACATTGGCAAGGGGGCAACCAAACCTGGGCTATAAATAGTTGTCTTCAGGGGCAAACACTTAGAAAAAGGAGGGAATAATGTAGCAGAACTGGACTGGGTCAGTCGCCTAGGACCAGGTAGCTCAATTGGTAGAGTGTCAATCTAGAGTTTGCAGGGTCCCAGGTTTGAACCTCAATCTGGCCATGCATTTTCTGCTCCCATTTCATTATTTTACATTTTGTCAATATGTAGACTTGCACAAAATCCAGTATCAGCAACAAACTAACAGAATTTAACAAGATAAAAGATCTCAAGACCAACTCCATTAATCACCCCATGAAATTGACCAAAGAAAAATTCAATCTTTAAATGATACACTTCATAAGCAACAAGAAAAAACATTTTATACATCCATTAAAAATTAAAGAATAATTTCACAGATAAAAAAACAAACAGGAAATGTATATAAATAATCGAAATTGTTTATTTTGTGTTATGTTATTTCAGAACCATACACTAAGGAATGTCCATTTCCACATCCCAGACATTTGACTTTGAGTTTTGAGAGTGCTGCCACCTGCTGAGTTTTGAAGACGTTTACTTCATTGCCTGTTCCACAAATACCATGTTCATTCCATCCCCAGGAGAAGACAGATCCTTCATCTGTAGGAAAGAAACATTTTTGCACTTAATTTATATTGCAGACATGGTTGTAGATTTGACTTAAAAATGTTTTTACAGTGACGCAGTTCACACTGAAACCAGTATCACACCTTTGATACTGCAAATAAAGAAACTTTATATTTGACAATAGAGTTTGCTGATCAATATCAAGTTAGAGTAATTCATTGTAAACTGTATATGATCGATTCTAACTAGAAAACAGCTGTGAGATGTGAATGCCCCCTTGCCCCTGATGACGACAATAAATCTGTTGACCAAGTAGCAATGATTGACCTATAAATAGCAACAGTGACCTTGACCCCAAGATACAAACTCATCAGAGGTATTCTCATACTTTACATGTATAATTTTGGTAAAAATTTGTTAAGAAATGAAGGCCGTAGAGCCATGACAATGAATCGCAACAAGTACAGGTGGGACAGATAAGGGTAACACTTTATGCACAGGAGTTTTATGTGGGGGAGGGAGGCATATATATAACATTGCCGAATAGTCAGAAAGAATGATCAAATGATCACCAGCATGTTCTGCAATCAAAAGATGCTGAGTGTTCTCAGGCATAATCTTACCACTGACTGCCAAGTTGTGTTCAGATCCACAGGAAATACTTTGAAAAGATGGTAGGCCAGGTATAAGGGTCGGTACGTGATCACATGACCCATCACAGGGCCTTCCCAGCTGTCCATAGTCACCTCGGCCCCAACTGTATAATTTACCTCCGGCTATAAATAAACAAATACAGAAATTGGAAGCAGTGATTTGTTAAACATAGGATATTTTAGCATCTCAAATGTGTTTGTATTGTGCCATTGGTGATTTATCATTCATATCAATGATTGTTATTATTATATAGAACCTCATCTTAATAACAACGTGTCTGATTGGATAATATTGGTCACATGTCGGGTCGGGACAATAAAACATCATGTCACCCTCACGTGCCCAATTTTCCTTGATCATGTTTCCATTATTCAGAGCCTCTCTAGAAAAATCGACAATTAATCAACAAGATTTGATAACTTCTGACAAAAATCATAAAAGAGAGCTGTTTGGTCAGATCCCGAGTCTATGCTTTCTTTAACATGGAACATGTACTTTGTAGTTGCATAAACAAAGTTCCAGAAGAGGCTATGAAATTCTTAAAACAGCAGTATGTGTGACAACAATAGAATACCTGTCCTCGCTAACAGGTGTGTCCATCCACTGCTCAGGTGAGTCGGTGTCCAGTCCCTGGGTGGGGCAGGTGTGGGGGTTGGGACAGAACTACAGTGGCTTGGATCCTGAAGGCACTGCCCATACTTGTTACAACCCCACACATACATCTGGTCATCGTCTATCAATAGACATGGCATTGTTAGGTCGTGAGCTGCTGAATTCTATATCAAATAGCAATAATCCTTTGGAAGTTTTAAATACTTTATTTATAACATTGGTAAAGGACCCAATTGGATTCTACTACAAAGTTATATAAACTATGAAACAGATATTTTACCGAGACAAGTTTGAATATGAAGCTACAATGCATTATAATGTACAAAATGGATATTGATTAGCCATTTCTTATAATTCTGTATTGAATGATTCATACTTTACTGTACATGTATTCAACTGTACTTTTACATTTATGAATATTGAATAAAATCAATTCCAATTTTGAAATTATTGACTGGAAAAATAAAGACGATGGTACAGAAGAAGTCAATTACAAACTTGTAACGGCCACAGAATGGTGAGATCCAGCGACAACCGAGCATACACATCCCGCTGTTTCTGGTATGGTCACTGAATAAAGGGTGAAAACAATGTTAACATCAGTACAACACAAATATAACACAAACAGTGAAAATATAAGGACATTTAAATATGGAAATATTTTGATGAGTCCATAGAAGCTATCAAACATTAATTGTTTTTCTTTTTTTAAGGCAAATTTTATTTTCATTTCTTCCTCTTGAATATTTATAGAACCACTTCTTGGAGTTTTCTTGATCAAGAACATTTGGGATTAATATACCAATAGTTGACATAACTAAATAAAGACCTTGTAGCAAGTTTCAATTCTTTCTGAAAATTTAAACAACAATAAGTTCACTCACAAATATATTGTATAAAGTTTGAAGAATTTGGCATGGAGTTATTTCCCTTTAATTGGTATACAGTGTTCTAGGCCGTTTTCGTTCAAACGGTTCAACCGGTCGGACCACATTTGTTCGTTTAATAAATAATGTCGAACCTAGTAATATGATGCTGCTTTCAGCCGATCCTTGACAAAGCCTTGCAAGGCCTGCATAAACATTTGCTGGTCTGCCAGGATTAATACACGAGATTGTTACATTTAAAACGGACAAACCAGTTGTTCCACATAAACGAACAGGACCCTAGTCTACCACCTTCATCAATTACATTATATTTACTGAAATATAGAAAGCATCCCAACCTGGAGTAGGACTTGTAAGTTTAGCTGGTGGTTTGTTGTCAGCTAGAACTCCACACTGACCTTTTCTCCCAGCACCCCAGCAATATACATTGCCACTATCTGCAAAACATAAGGGTGTCAAAAACAAATTAAGGCATCTACATCAACAACAGGAGATATTTTTACTTATATTTAAAAAGATATTACATGTTTTCACTCTTTATTCAGTGGCCATACCAGAAACATCTAGAGGGAGGTGTGTGCTCGGTTGTCGCTGGATCTCACCCTTCTAGATTCTAACATTACTCCTTAATGTTCTCAAAATTCATTCAATTTCTGATGCACCTTTTGCTAATTACTACCTGTATATTTTGTGTTTTGGGCAACATAGAATTTGACTACATGAACCTGTGTAATATCTAAAACTTCCAAAATGTGATAACTTGTAGTTTGTTGATTAACAGCGGTACATTATATGTTCACAGTATAAATATTTACATTTTATCAGAATAGTGTTTCTAACCTGTTACCATGACAACGTGTCGGAGCCCTGCAGCAACATCAGCAACCTTCTCATCTTTTGGTACTTGTACTTTGGTCTACAAAATTAAATATCTATGACCAAAACCATCAATAAATTCCATGTCTATGATAAATACATATATATATATATAGAGAATAAAATAATAAATCTGCCTTTTAGGTCTTCTTCTTTATATATATAAAAGTTTATTTTAATAAGCATTAAATCTTGTTATTGCTTGTTTGTTAAGATATATACAGAAGATATACATAATTTCTGTTTTTTAAATCTGTTCATGATTTAAAATCCATCAGAATAAAATGTTTGGAAGACAATTCCAAATAAATATATTCTATCTACCTTATGATACAAGCTATTCCAATCTATATACAACTTAAAGTTTGGGCAAAAATATTACTGACCGGCAGTGAGACCTGATTTGCGCCGGGCATCCCCAATTGACCAAAGGCATTTGACCCCATTGAGAACAGCTCTCCTCTGTCTGTTGATTATAGGTATAAACAGAAATATCGTCACGCTTTACACCTTGTTCAGAAAACAGTATTATGGAAACCTTATTTCTATTAACAATCGTTTAGAAACCTGAACTTGTAGTAACAATCCACCAAATGTGTCAAAATGTACCATTACGATGACTGCTTCCCATTTCTGAATTTGGCTAAATCACACAATGTCCGACTGCTCACTTCTCCTTCAGTAAAAACTTTACGAGTTAAATATACCCCTCATTCAACTGCAAGTTGGTGTATGGTTATACTGTAGTAAATATTATTAAATGTCTTGTTACTACTGTTTCCCCGCCAGAGTTTTCTGATATACAATGTATTCTGTTTTTTCTCGCAAATTATTCCCGTTATTTGTTATACTTTTTTTTAACTTTTTTTCTTATTGGTTTCTCCTGTTTTTCTGTTAAAAAATCATTATCTTTAAAGAATTAGCATACAATGTTTTAATGCCTCACCGCCACAAATATATCATAATACAATATCAAACACTGTTTTTCTTTCTGCAGTCGTATAAAAAGAATAAAAAATCCCAGGAAACAGTATCCAAATTTAACCAGCGAACTAAGCTGGTTGTTCCGGGAATTTTGCTGAAGCCATTTCATAGATTGAAAAAGTTTCCCTACATGGAATATTAACCTTAAATAGCCTCCTGCACATAAAAGACTTCCATAGGGGATTCAGTTCAATTTGGACAATAAAATGTATACTTTGGTCAATCACAAAATCTAGACACAAAGAAAGACAAATTTGAACTTAAATGTGATTGTTTAGAATTTGCTTAAAAATCCAAGCAAACAAAAAGTGACCTTATTGGTCAGATGTTTTTGCATTTTCAGATCTATTTTTCATAATTTACCGTACCTGTAATAATAAAGGTGAAATCCCATCCACCTGTTGCCTTGGTGACAGCATTGTCCCCCGGTACCTTGACCTTGGTCAGTGTGGTGATGTCATGAGTGTGACCAAGACCCAACTGACCCTTGTTATTTGATCCGCACACATACAGATCACCTTCATCTACAGTAAAAGGTAATTATATATATATATATTTATATATAAAAATGAAATATTTCTTTGGGTACACAAGCGTAGCATTTTCTGTAGTTACCAAGTACATATATAATGTCTGTAGGATAATATATTTCATCTTATATAAGTGTGTGAAGCAGAACTGGATTGGGTTGGATTGACGGGCAACTAGGTAGCTCCATTGGTTTGTGCACTTGTGTAGAGTTCTGAGGTCCGTGGTTCGAATACTAGTCTGGTCGTGCATTTCTCTGTGTCCTGCTACGATGGGGCCTGTGACCAACCCTTGTCAAGTAATGGGTGCATGCTTGACAAGAGGATATCTGAACCTGGGTGTCAATACTATTATCTTCAGGGAGGAAGACTAGGAAAAGGAGGGAGAAATGTAGCTGAACTGGACTGGGGTCAATTGCCGGCAACCAGCTAGGTTACTCAATTGGTTGTGCAAGACTCCATTTTATATGAGATTTATGAAACAATTCAACCTTTTTATCACTTGAGTGTCACTGTCAGTCTCTAGGGAACTTAAATGAAAAGAATTTGACATATATTTCATGATTACGGTATGGTATCAAATGGAAATCAATTTTAGATAATTTTTATTGCATGATCTAGAGCTATTGCAAATATTGGGAAGACCTTCTTTTCTATGTCATTGTTGTAAGCCTGAAATGCTTCCTGTCCTGGTTCTTTACCTATAATGTCTTCATTGGGACGTAATCATGAAGTCTGTGATATCAGTTCATCACAACAGGTCATATTGGTACATAATTAAGTTCATTATCAAAATACACAACATTGGTGTCAAGATTGTTAAATGAAACAACTTACAGGAGGCCCATTGGTCTTGCATAGCTTACCTGGCTATTACTGAAGAGTTGCCAAAATCTTCCCAGTAGTTTTGGAGGATAACTTTTGCCACTTTAACTTGTATAATTTTATTTTAAACCTGCCCATTGGTTGATAATGAAAAGATGCCATTTAAAGGCTAAATGGGCCTGTATCGCTCACCTCATATTAGTCTCACACCAGTCACCTTAAATGAGTATCAAGGTCAAATATATTATATGGACTAATCGAGTCAGGTGAGCTATAAATGTTAAATAAGTAATTACCATCGATGGCTAGAGTGTGACCTCCACCTCCTGTGATGCTGCGGATACCGATGTCTGTTGGAGTTATCTCCCCTGGTAGAAGTTTATCCTCTGTGTGACCTTGACCAAGTTGGCCATAGCTATTGGCTCCCTATAACAGAATAGGTGTTCATTTATTTTTATGAAATATTAAAAATGTTAAATTATGTAAAATATTTCCATGAATTTAAGATAAAAACTAAAGCTGAAGGAAGAGTGTGTTAGTGTAGTTAGTAACCCGAGGACTCCCCGTGATAACGTGGATCTGATGCTGACTTAACAGTGCTACCTCACTGAAATATCATGTTGAAGGCACCCATCACAGCATTCTGCCCAGTCACATCACACTGACGAGGGGTTAACCAGTTGTTCCAATCACCCTAAATGCTGAACGTTAAGCAGGAAATTACTACTTCTGTTTTTAAGGATTTTAGTGTTCCAAAGTGTTTCAGGTATCTGACAGTCTACAATCACTCGCCCTCCACCACCAAATTGCAGGTTTGCAGCCAATGTTGGGCAGTTGCCAGGTACTGGCCACAAACCCTAAGAACCAAAGTAAGCAAATCTGCTGTACCATGATAACCATCCATCATTTTTTTAATTTTCTTTAAAAAAAATCCTGCTCCTACTTAACAACTTATTGGATATCAAACAGAGCTGTGATGCATAGGGACAGGGACCACAGACCCAACAATTGTATAAAGGAACAAAGCAGCCNGTGTTTTAATGCCTTCAAAGACTTACTCCTATGTAATGACCAGTTCAGCATTATGTCCATTGTACTGTATAACTACATACATATATAATAGGAACTGGAAAATGCACAGCGAGACCTGAACCCAACCCAGGAACCTCTGAACTCCATCTGGACATTCTATAATTGAGCCATCTGGTCACCGATGATCGACCCAGTCCAGTTACTATACATTCTTTTACCCCTTGTTTTAAGTCTTTGCCCCAAAGACATCACTATTCACAACCCAGATTTGGATATCCCCTTGTCAATCATTCACCTATTACTTGAAACAAGGGTGGCCACAGCACATGCAGACACCAATTTTGTAATAGAATATCCCCTTGCCAAGCATTCTCCTTTTACTTGAAACTAGGGTGGCAGGCATCAATTTTGTAATAGGAGAAAGAGAAATGCAGAGCCAGACCGGGATTTGAACCTTCGACTCTCTAAACTCTGGATAGATGCTCTGCCAATTGAGCTATCCGACCATCGGCAATTAATCTAACCCAGTTACACTACACACCCAAAGTGAGTCCTGCCCCTCCCCTAGAAACATAGTCTCTTGGTCATTATCTAAAAAGTGGAGAACACCGCCTTTAATCTTCAAATATTTTTCCTAGGCAAAAAAAAGGAACAAATAAATCCATGCTACTTAAGCATTGGCCTCTGAGTGTGTCCTCACCCTAGGGGTGCTGATTCTTACTATTAATTACTATTACTTATTAATATATATATATCCATAAACATTGCGATAGATGAACAATTTCTCACTATGATCATGTTAAGAGTTCTGTATCAGACTGTTGACCACTGCAACATTAAACCTTTTTTTAAGAAGGTGAGGTGGTGTGTATAGTGGTAGGAGCTGCAGATATTTCTTGGCACTATGGTGCCATAGGTTGGGAGTTAGAGGCCTGGACAGGGTGCGAGTCATAAAATTGCCTTCCTTCGTCACTTGTGTTTAGAATTCATTCATTCAATTAATTAACACAATGTATCATAAACATGCAGTATGTTGATCCAAAGATTTATGTTATGAACTATGCCTGTCATAAATATACATATAGAATGTCACTTTTTTAAAAATTGATTTTAATCCTTTAATACTTTTTTTGCATACTTTGATATTGGTAATGTACAACAATATCAGATGTAAACATTCCAAATCTTTGGTTAAAAAATAAACAACATTTAAGGATGTACTCTTCTGAGGTTTCAGTCACGTTCAAGTCTCGTTTTGATCTGATGTAACAGGTTTTTGTAATATTTAACAAATTATGATAGGTATAATAGGAAACACACATCTGAAAAACATGTCAAAAAATTAGATGTCTGTTGTGTGTAGAACATTTTTTACAAGAATTTTTAAAAAAATGACCAATTTGGCAGCCATTTTGAAAAAGTGTATTTATGTGAATTTCTTGCACTTCACAAAGGGCCAAAATTCACCTTTTTTGACACTAGATTGATCACTTAAATTGTCATTGTGTCACCATTTTTAATTGTAGCACGTTCAATTTTGCTGTACAACTTTATAATGTTCAATATGATTAAAATAATATGCAAAAAAGTGGAAAGTTATATATTATTGATATTTTTTTTTACATATTAGGGTAACTAACTGAAGCACTTTTGATTATTGACTCCGAAAAAGGTGAAAAATAACACAAATAATAATGGGACAAAAAAAGAAGCACACCGACCCCCCATTTTTGTGGCTGTTTTAGAAAGAGAAACTCATTTTCTTTGGATTCATTGAACACTAAAAAAAGTTTATTACAAGATTTTTTTATATCAAACGTTTAATCGGCAAAAAATGGTGAAAAATGTGCATTTTTTCATTAAAAAATAAGGGGTAGGGGTAACTAAAATCGCTATTTCTGAGTAAAATGAATAAGTTTAAGACATTTAACTTCCATAGTTTCTAAGAATATTATATTTTTATCAATTCTACAAACACTCATACATATCTGATAACACACTTGGAAGAAATTGTATGAATTTGTTCTGCAAATGGTCAAAACCCGAAAATTGACCGAAAATCACATATTGTGTTAAATTGGTATCTTTGACCGATCATAGCACAAAAACGAACACACCGACGTATAGTTTCTTTTGCATTTTCTACTATGCCATTATCTCCTTTTTCCAAAAATCAATATAAGAAAAAAAGTTTAATACAGGAATTTTTTGACTTCTCAGAGGTGTACATCCTTAAGTCACATGTCTTAATATTGCTTATTTCTAGAAGTTAAAATCAATAAAAAAAAAATCAGTTATATTCAAAGAATGTTTTGGGTTTTTTTGGGGGAGGGGCAGGTTTATAGGCAATTACTATCTTTATATTTGAAGTACTCCATCTTCACTCATTTTTTCCTGTATACACATCCCTGGTATACTATATAATTATAACCTTTATTTTATATAAATATTTTTTCAGTCTATCAAAGATTATAATTGTCTAAGCACTTTAAAATACTCAATATGATCACATGTGTTTGAAATTCTGACTGTAAATTGAGATATATATCACAAAAGATAAGGGTATAACGATCCTACTAGTCTATAGTATTTTTATGGTAAATATATATATCTCAATTCCCAGTCACAATGATTATGTTGTGAAGCCATCACTGCCATCATGTGAGTATGAGACATCAATGCCTCTAACATAATGTTAGACGAAGCAGCAGCATGTTCTACAATTCATGGAAATCGATGTCACTCGAGTTTCACATTGCTTTTTTTATTATAGTCTATAAACACTCTTTTATAAATGCATCTAGACTACTGTAGCCGAAGTGTCTTTCGACCGTTTCGTTTTCGACTTCCGATTACCACAGTAACACCGTTTCCCATTCGCCCGCCTATCAGGTCCTAAGACAGTACCGGCACACGTAATAATACACACGTGTTTACACACAAACTACACATGCCCCTTGACTGGGCCTCCGCATTGTAAACAATCAATGGATTTGTCAATACTTTTCAAGCGTATTCGATCATTTCCGAGAAAACCTACGACAATTTACAGTAAATGACAATGTTTCGTTTATCCGATCCTCCAATCAAGGCCATTCCCCGTACTTCCGCGTTGTAGCGGCCTTACCCAGGATGAAAGCTTGCAACCATGTCTGGCCCAACCCACCGCTAGCTTACAATCAGTGGCCATGCTATCACTCGCCGACTGTGTGAAATTGACACTAGTCACGTGATTATTCATTAATTGATAGGACGAATCCACTGGTTGACCTCAGGTCTCGCTGTTCCATCCTTGTTACGCACTCCCCAATAAACACGAAATATTTCACAGAAAATGTCTTACCGTTATTGATTTTACAGTTATATCACTTGTCTAATATTTAACATTCTATTTTTAATATAATACTGGAAAGGTTTTTTGGTTAAAGGAAACACCAAATTATGATTTAAAGGAAATTCCTCACATAATTTCGTTGTAGGTGGTACCTCAAAGAATCAGCACCAATGGCGTCGACCAACAAGGCCGGATTAGCCCATGATTCGTTGTCCACGACAAGTTGATTTCCATAGCCAATCACCAAGAAAAGGGTACCTATTGGACCCACGTAAGTCGCTCAGTTATCTTATGATTCGCTTCCATCGTAGCTCTTACTATTCACACATTTTCAGTTCAAAATGTGTCATTTCAAGATACGAGACGAAACATTGGGGTTTTTTCATGGCTTTTTGCCAAACACAATCGCCGGAGAAAATGTCCATTGCGTGTTTGCATTGTTTCTCTGTCGCACTACATGCGTTTGGATTTATTTTGTTCCTTGATTCTTTGCTAAAAATAGAAACCACAAGGCTGTTCATTTATCATTCTAAACAAAATTATGAAAACCCCTGATCTATAAAATCATCTCGATCAGAAAGTGTTTTTTTAGGAAGTGGTCGTCATGATCATGACAATCTCATTTGTATTCAAACTGACGAGTTGTATATTTTATCATACATTGGTGAGTATTTCCTTTAGTTTCCATTCCAAAACAAAAGTGGAACACCTTTATGAACTTTAACATAGAGATAAATTAGTTAACAGTTTAAACATTTACAGTAAAAATAATAAACCATCACATTCGTTGTCATTAAAATTGTTATTTACAATAAATCAAATAACAATGGACATGTTTTAAAATTTAAATATTTTTCTTAAAACAGGCCTAATTGATCATGATTTGTCGAGGATGTTATGATTTATCTGTCTGGGTGTCTACATTTGTTTCTTTTCTTTCTCTTTCTTCAATTTTTAAAGATGTTCTCTTTATCATTTTATGTTTTGGAACAAATAATGCTTTAATCATTACTAGATCATGGGAATTTTGCCTGATTGAGAATTGGACTAAAAGAACTATAAAGTGAAATATCAATTATGACTTGTAAAAATACATGTATATCATTACGTAGCACCATTGTGTGAATTATTCGTCCAACATATAGCCCTTGGGTATAACTGATCAGTTAAAAAATGGATTGTAAATCATGTCGGATTATGATAATATGAGACTGTTTGAAATTGTACAAATAAAGAAAATTAACAAATGATCTACAATGAGTTAATTTTCAGTTTGTCTCAACATCACAAAAGTATTAATAAAATGTTTATGTATGAAACATCAGATAGAATCTATTGTTAATGACCGAGATGAAATGCTAAAAAGTGTATCATGTCAAAGTCTTTCAGTTCAATATAGTGTAGAAAACAACTTGTTGCAGACCCTAGAATTAAGTCTATAATTTTCGATTTTATAGTTATTTATAATAATACTTAAATTTCATAATCAACTTATGTATAAATTACCAAGGACTGAATTTTTTGATTTTTTTAAAATCTACTGTAGTATAAAATTGGCAAATATTGCTTTATTAAATCTAATATACCATGTGATGATATAATCTGATGTACTCAGGTCATGACATATGACCAATATTATGCAGTTATCAAATTTTGACAATTCTTTTATGTATACTACTAACTTCTGTCATGTGAATGCCAGGAATCCATATGTCAATTCTCCAACTAGTCAATTTCACAGTCATAGTTATTGGATTTTAATGGATTCATTGTTGTTGTTTTGTGCAGATTTAACATGGGTGTGTTTTAACAGTGGATGATATATATATATTAAATGGGGCAAAGAAGTACAGTGTGGACAAGTTTAGGTTGTCAAATTTTCGAAGCGATCCGCTCCTTTATCAAGACACAGTCAAACAGAACAGTAACATGTACATATACATCATATTACAAGAAGATAGAACTGATATACTATAATTGAAAATATAGCTATTATATAAAACCAATAGTCCCCTTGGCTAAAGACAGCCGAAGGCAGCAATTAAGCTGAGAGCATCGCGGACAAGGAACGCTGATATATATGTATACACGCATGTATCCTCACTTAACTAATAAATTAATTCCTTGATGACAAGTTAACTTGAATTCCATTTGCGTTAGAAGGGGAGACTTTTGTAAGAGTGTTGCAGGTACATGCACACACATAAATTATTGTTCATTAATAGTACATGGGGGATGGTAACTAGTGATTGTTAATCAGAAGTTGTTCCATCACCGAAATGGTAAATGTAACATTAATAAAATACAATCAAAACCCCAACATTATACAGCGATTCAGTTTTGAAACTATCATTAGGATTATTGTAACAGTAGAATAGATTATCAAATATAACGACTCATTCAATATCATTATGACACTTACAATTGACTACTTGGACAGCAGATAATGTTAGAAGTGAGCTAAAAACCACCATTAATTTCTTCATCAATGCCTCTTAAATGTTTTGAAAAAAATGAGTTTTCTGTTTTTGACTTCCCTGGTTGTAGTTTGCTATAGTTTGTGTATTGTCTAAGCCAATAAGAGTTACTTCCCTTGTATCACTTGAACATTAGTCATATATATATGAGAATGACATCATTACAAGTTGTTTTTTGAATTTACACAATAATTGTTGTGTAAATCAAAATACTGAATGCTTATGTTTCAGTGTTATTACTGGTGCTAGTAAATTAGGCAAAATGAAAAATGTTATTTGGTTCTAGTTTTTCTAACCTGGGTTAACAAGGACATCCCTCTAAACAAAATCTTTTTTTAATTACTCTTATTTTTTGCCTTTTGTTTGATTTATTTACTTTTAAATGTTGATAGCTTTACTGGACCGTATGTCACGTGTAAACCTTCCTAAAATCCTTTAAAATAGTAATAAATCTTCACTTTTGGCTCTAACAAAGTAATTAGAGGCTTCAGAATAACACAAATGATTCAATACTATGTTTTATGCTATATAATTTATGTTTTAAATGTCTCGTGAATTTCTCACTAATTCAGAGTCAAAGAAATCTCACTATTTTTGACCAAATCTCAAAAATCTCAAATCACTTAAAATAATCACTGATCTCACTATTTTGCACCGGAAAGTTATGGCAATGCACCCTACATGTACCTATCATAATTTGTTTTCCCTACCCTAAACTGATTTTGGCAGCACTGTTGAAAGTCAAGATCACTCTCCTATATAAATCTTTAGGAAAAAGTTTTTAACAAAATGTAATTTATTACCTAGGCTACCTAGCTACCTACCCTCCTAATTAATAATTAGCAGGAAACACGTTTTTTTGGCCTTATGGTGTCAGTAATGATACTGTTGTGTCTATAGCTACATGATATAGCTGTTGTGTAATGCTAAAATTGTATACAACCATGTGCATTGACCTAGACCATTCAACATTTGAATTAAATGCCTCAAAGTCAACAAATTTGCTAATTAATTTGGAATGTCACATTTGATATTAAATGTAAATTAAAAATAAATGTTATTCATGTTACACTTATCTAATGTCTGAAAACTTGAAAACAGAATATCCTAATTTCAAAACGCTTAAAAATGAATGAAATACTTTTTTTGAGGTGTGTTTTTGTGAATGGGTAGTTAGTAGAATACATTGCCTGTTGGTATCAAATCCAAGTGGACATCTTACCCATAATAGTAAATACAAAGCACTTGGTCAAGGTGTATTGTTGACCCATGTTCCATATTAACTACTTGATAAATTAAAAGTTATGTTGGTTGTACTATTGTATGTAATGGTGGATCTGGATGAGTGGCTAACAATGGTAGTGAAACACAGTCTCGCCATAAAACATTAGCCTCAAACACACAGGCATGCACATTATGTGGAGGTATTTAGCCAGGTGACATAGAATCAAACTGTCTTAACTAGTTGTTAGTGCCTGATAAGGCAGATCATATCAAAGCTATAGCCATGCTGGAAAAGGCAGTTTCAAATGCATAGTTACAGGTTTTAACAGTGCTACAGGGATCCTATGTCTTTGAACTTATTTCACTGTAATATGTTCAATATTTTTATTTTTTGTAATTATTTATTTTTCACCATTTTTTACATAATATTTATGACATGAAAAAAGAATACATTCACATGCACGCACACACATACACACAAACTTTCTTATTTTATTTAATTTTCCTCTTTGACACCATCTTTTTCTCATCATGATCATCATTAATATATGTTCAATATTTTGTCATTGTAGAAAAGTATATAGCCATGTAGTCAGTGCCACTTCAATATCGTGGTACTTTACGCTGTAACCAAACATGGATCAGCAGATGCAGGTTGCAACTATGCAACCATCAGGAGATGGACAGCAACAACAACAGCAGCAGCAACAACAGCAGCAGCAACAGCAGCTGGTTATGCATGCCCAGGGACTGCCTCTTCAGTGGTTACAAGGAAACCAATTTCCCATACAGGGACAGCCACAGGTAAGGTTTATCATTAACAAAGCTATATATGTGCTTACATGTGCTTACTTAATAAAAGAATACATGGGGCCTGTTCGTTTATGCTGAACAACCGGTTTGTCTGTTTTTAAATGTAACATTTTCAGAAAGCAGATATCCGATGCTGGCAGACCTGCAATTGTTAATGCAAGCCTGCAAGGCTTTGTCAAGGCTAGCCTGAAAGCAGCATCAGATTACTGGTACTAGGTCCGATCTTATTTCATAAACAAACAACTCTGGTCCAACCAGTTCAACCATTTGGATCGCAATAAGTGAAATTGACCATGGATAGATATATAGCTTTAAAGCTTTTTTTGCCACTTGAATACTTTAGTGAGTCTGCAGGAGTGTATACTATAAGTGCAATTCCACTAGCAAGACGCCTGGCGCTAGTAGATTTTATGTCGGAACTAGTAAAAATTCAATATATGTTTACTATAAAACTAAAGATGGGCTTGTAGAATTTCAAAATCTGCCTGTGGACTAGTATTCTAAATATGAAATTGTACACCTGGTCTTGTGTTAGTCTAGACACTTTGCATATGAAAATTCTTAAGTCGCACATTACCAAGAAATTTGAAAATGTTCTTTGAATACACCATATATGTTACTGGAATCTTTTTAAGAAATCTTCATTTATTATAGTGTTTTTGGTAAATCCTTTCATAATCTTTGTCAACAGATCATACAAATAGGACAGAATCAAATGTTACAAGGTCAGCAGATCCTTCTCCAAGCATTCTCCCAAGGTCAACTTCTCCAAGGTCAACAACTTCAAGTTCAAGGTCAAAATGGCCAATTGTCACAAGTGCCACAAGTAAGATATATATTTGGTCTTAAGCAACACCACTAACCAGGCATAAAAAAAATCTTGGAATGATTAAATTCATAACCTCAGTGTTTATCCAAATTTTATTCAAGGTGTGTGAAATATTTCACTACTATTTAAGTTTTATATTCATGAATCTCTATAGCTTTGTGTCTGTAAGCTACGCCTTAATTTATTGATTGAAGTGGAGCGATTCTACTATTACATGTCTTACAGGTCTTGTAAGAGAGAAAAAAATCTGAGAATGTTTTAACCTTTTCTCCAAAGTCAGCTTTTGAATCTATTGCATTAAAAAACTTACATGTCATTGTATACATATATATATATTCTAATTCAGCCCTTACAAATTGATTGTGTACATCAGAAGTAAGTTCGCCATTTTTAAAGTTTCAGCTACTAGCACCTGGAGGACAACAGATCCAAAATTCTCTACAAGCTCAACAACAGGTAAAACAAACTGTCTATCCCCCCTCCTACCATGAAACATTAAAGGGACATCACGTGAAAAGGCGTGTTTTTTTTAATGAATGTATGTATTGTATGCACTTCCACTTATGTTACCTCGCTATCCCCATATTCATAGTCCGTTCCAAATGTCCAGTTTGACCACTTGAATTGTTCGGGAAAGCCCGGCTAAAAATAGCGCCGATAACGTCACCTGATTAGGCAGCAAACACAAGTGGTGCGAGCGAGATGAAACGGTTTACAAAGGGGCCCTCAGAGAGGGGCCGTCAGGCAACTGCAACTTCTTACCGCACTATGAAACCAAGTTATATGATTTCTAATTCCGTATTCAAACTTATTGAACAGTAATTATTCATCATCAGAAGTTAATTGCACACTTGCCAATATTAAGAATTTAAATTTATTTAGCTTTTAACATAAATTTGTTGCCAATAAAATTAAACAAAGGATGGGGCACAAGTTTTTACAATTTATCACAGCCTTCTCCCGTGACCGGTACAGGTGGTACGGGGCTAAACACTCCCTCAACAATGGGACAAACCTTTCTGTAAAAAGGAATATTCACGAGACGAATATCCCTTTTCAAATGTTTACATAAAGTGCATATATGCAATGACAAACTACACGCGAATATAAAAAGGAAACGTTTGTGAATTTATTTATTACATTAAACAACTCAATGTCTTTGGCCATTTTTTTTCTAGACCATGAATATAAATCTATGTATACTCTCTTTCCCACTTTCACTGTCTCCAAACGCTAACATTTAGGAAGTCATATTAACCATCACACACAATAAACTGTATGGCAAAACCACTACGTGTACATGTAGAATATGTGTCAATAAGGAACGTGTTGAGATACTTGATAATTATATTTTTTCAATACTTTACAGAGATTAAAGCATACTTTTAAATGGACCTTTTTATGCTGAGACAACTTTTCTTTAATCAGTTCCTTTGGTCCGAAACAGAAGCCGTAGTTATCGGCAGCACGCGCCATTTTTATAACGTAATCAAATATTTTTTCCCCTGTTTTCAATACGTATTCCGATTCTATCTGAAGTCGAAAATTTATTCTTTATAGAGAAAAGGTTGTTACATGATCATACATTCTAAGTCAACATCATATGAAAACATGAACTGTTGAAAAATTACGATTTAAAAAAAAAGTGTTATGCGATCCTATTTACTAGAAGTAGGTTCTCCTTCCTCAGTTATTCATCCTGGTCCGTCATTTTGACATTTTTAATCTAGCTGCGATAACGTAGCTTTCTGACGAAGAGCGATTTTTTTTTTATATATTGCGTCGTCGCGCCAGGGCAGGCCGGGTATTATATTAGTACTAATTTAAAACTTGCATGTCAAAACAAAAAACAATCGTTTAATTCAGCAATATAATTAAATCATACCATTTTACTGATCCCGGTAATATTATAAATTATGTAAATCTAATAGCGCACGTATCTCATTTGACCCCGAGCACCGACAGAGGATCAGAGAACAGAATACGCCGTGGCCATCACAGCAGTTATCCCTTGGGGGGCCTCATGGCAAAATCAAACTAACCAGTCACTTATCCCTTTCGTTTGCATAAACCACTGTATAATTAAAAAAAACACAAAGTAAACTCTCTCCGATACATGCCCATTAACATATTAAACTAAGTTCATCTGTGTTCAAACTCACACAATGATACTAGCGAGGTTAATAGTTTTAGATATTTATTCATAACATAAACAGCGCTAGCATTTCTGTCGATTTTATTTCAGCTTAACCGGCCGCTATCCGGAAGAAAACATGCACCGTACTGACTGCTAGGGCAGTTATTTTCTGCTTTGAATACTTCCCACTGGCAATAATGATTCCGTAACGTACCCCTTGCGCTATCTTTTGACCATTTGGCAACTATTCGCTTCGTAGCTGACACGGTACAACACTTTTCTTTGGCTTACTTCACACGGCCAGTCATTTTGTTTACAAAGAAATGGTGTGCTATGCGCATGCGCTAGTAGAGGGAAATCCCTGAACAAAACGTTGGTCAGACAGGTAGAAATACCGATGATTATCTTAGATTTAATCATTTTTATGAATCTATTTCAGCCAAATCCGATCGGCATTTTCCATAAGGAGTCTCACTTGATATGTTTATGTAGTATTTGGAAAAAAGACAAAAAAAAAAAGTTACTTCAGCGTGATGCCCCTTTAAAATATCATGTAATCAGATCATGGTGATGTAAGTTATGTTAACATTATTCCAAATGTGCTTTGGAAAATTCTATGTATTTGGAAACTTTTTGTCACTAAATCTCTATTTTTACACAAGTGTTAACTCTCTGAGTTTGAATTGGATTAAAAGCATTTTGTTTATATATTTATTTTAAAGCCAAACTAATTGTATATTACATTTAAATTAGTAGTTGCAAAGATAACTAACTAAATTTTACAGATATTAAATATGTTCACTGCCCGTTGTCAGTATAATGTGACCGGGTGGGGCATCCTGCTGGGTGTCTTCGGCAGTATGTTTCAGTGAGGTAGCACTATAAAGTCGGCATCAGTTCCGCGCTATCACAAGGAGACAAACACGAACATATCGCAGCCTCCCAAAATACACACACATACACTACACGCATGCATCTTGCACACAGGGGAGGCCGTCCTTAAATGACCTTAGCTGTTAATAAGATGTTAAACAAAATCAAACAAACAAACAAACAAACTGATAAACAATCATTTTTCAGTATTAATTTGTATACACATGCTTTTCATAATCACAGATATTTCAACAAGCTGCAGGTCAGAGTACTGGTCAAGTGATGGCATTTCAAGGTCCAAATGGCCAGATTCTAGGTCAGCAACAGTTTGGAGGTCAACTGGTGCAGACTCAGGATGGACAGACCATACTGTATCAGCCTCAGCAGCAGCAGATTCTGCAGACAGGGGCAGACGACTCCACCAACAGTCAGCTACAACTTCCACAAGTACAGCAACAGACCCAAGGTCAGTTACTTAACCAGTATATGTTTGGAAATCTCCAATTGTCTTCAATTTCTTAAATATGTTTAACAAATCCCCTACCACTGCCATAAAGGAACAATGCATTGGAAACTTGTTTTACTAATACAGATGACAATAGGTGAATAATTTCTGAAAAGGAAACTAACTTGAATGAAAAAAATAATACAAGCAAAACATGCACACAAAAATTAGCAAAAGTGTTTCGAGTGATCACTCTTGATCAGTATACTTGCTTTACTATTGAGTGCATGTAAACAATAAACTTTGAATGTAAAATAATATCGACTGATAATCTGTTGAACATTGTAACCGGCAGCTATTGTCAGTGTTACAGAGTGAAATGAGACTACGAAAATTTCCCTGTTGGGAGGGTAGCCATATGTAATCAATTCATAACGATTTTGAGAATTTGAAACGTTTTACAACTGTATTCACTAGACATAAGTATTTAGTTATCTTTGTTTATGCATTTAATGAAATAAGTAATAATATTTTCTACAAAATAAAGAGCCATGCATGGCTGTATTTCATTGCATGGTTACCTGGTTTCGGTTCGGATAAGCACACACGGTTATCAGAGTGGCAATTTTTTCTAACCGTTGCAGTCCTACATTCAACAGAAATTGGACAAAAAATACACTGGAATGCTCTATGCATTGCCTGCAATGGGCTGCTTGAGCAGATTGATAGGTAATGCATCTTTATAACAGTTTAGTAAAGGACCGTAAGTGCAGAAAGAGTATACATTTGGGTGTGATATGCAGGCGACTTCCTCTGATATTCCAAAATAAGGGAGAAATGTTTAAAAAGGAAGTTGTTTAAATATGAAAAGAAAGTATAAAATTGTACAGCATATAGGATGTTTTGTAACCTTACAAAGCTCTGCTAGTATTGTCATATATTAATGTTTCAAAACTAAATGTAAACTCTAAAATTTTAGTAACTTCCTCCTCCGTCCCATCGGCCTCCCCACAGGCAGCTAGCCTTCAACACATGCTGCAGGCAGGACTCATACAAAGTAATGGCCAGATCATACAGGGAGGAATCCCACAGATGGCACAGCTGCAACAGAATGGTGCCACTCAACTTGTACAGAATACAATGCCCCAGAGCAGTTCGCCACAGCTGTTGCAGGCTGGGGCATTGCCACAGGCCAGTGCTGCACAAATCTTACAAACAGCACTACAACAGAACAGTATAGGGGGACAGGTATTACAGGCCGGGGGGCAGGTTTTACAATCGGGAATGCCTCCAGCCACGTCGCCCAGCAGCATACAGCAGTCATCAGGGGAGACAACTTCCCAAGATGCTACTGTAGCACAGATGTTACAGCAAGGCTTACAGCAAACTAGCGGACAGATTGTACAGCAGACCAACGGCACCACTGTGCCACAGGTACTACAGGGGCTGCAGGCCCGCGGCATGCTGCAGATGGGCGCCAACAGTAACCAGCAAATCATGGTAGGTGGCATGTACAAAGACCATTTCTAGTAAAGTTGAAATAATACAAATAAGTATGTTTCAGGTACCCTAGTTTTTACCTCCGACCCTAACAACTATATCTCGCCCAAACGCAATCTTTCCAGCATTTGGATAACTTGTCCACTGGATGCAAACAAATTAATGGACGAACAAACAAGACAACTGTATGTAAACCCTCTCTACCTCATAGGCAGGTATCAAAACCAAAGTTAAATCAGTATGAACTGATTGAGGATCAGACATTAGCTATTATAAAATCAACAAGTTAACTTGTAAAAATTGATGGTCTGTTCAGTGCTGTGCTATCTATGTATATGCTAAAATGCAAATTGTAGGTGATGTGAAAAAATACCAGGAGAAACCCCGATTTTGATGTATTCTCCTCTGTATTGTAGGTTTTGAATGGGAATACACTACAGCGGATGCCAATACAGACACAACAAGTAGCGTCTGATGAGGAGCCCCTGTACGTTAACGCCAAACAATACCACCGCATCCTCAAACGTAGGCAGGCTCGTGCAAAGCTGGAGGCTAGTGGCAAAATCCCTAAACAGCGACGGGTAAGCACAGTTAGATTCAAACTGGATTGTGATATCCTATCTTTTCATGCATAATGGCATGTTTCTGAAAAAGATGTTAAGCTTAAAGCTTAATTACATATTATTCAGTGTGAAATTACATGATGAGTGTAAAAATATTTTTGAAAGTTAATCACCTGAAATGTACAAAAAATAACACACAAATTCTCTTTCAGTTGTCCGGTTTCCATAGTGGTTTCTAGAAAAGTTGATGTTTGGAACAGATTCAAAATTTATATACAAACTCATGAACCTCATTAATTATCCCACTTGTCTGTCATTTACAAGTGAGTTAACTCAAGTTTACACTCAAGTGTAACTCAATTTCAGGAAATTCCTTTACGTGTGAAGTATACAAAAGTTCCAGTATTTTTTTTTATATCAAAGGTCTTATTCGACTTTGTTATAATACAACTCATTGCAAGAAGTTATGTAATATACTTAAGTTACTTTAATTGCCAAGTGCTTAACGTCCACTACCCTGCCCTCAATGGGAGGCTGCCACAGTGTCAAGATCGAAGCTACAGATATTTCTTAGCTAGGCTATTTGGTGCGGGACTTTAGAGTTTGAGGCCTGGACAGGGCGCAAGTAAAAAATTGTCTTCCCTTTGAAGTTGTATTTCTACAAATCGTATCCAAATACAATGACATTGTATCATATACACACTGGTGTTTGTTGATCAAAAAGTGTCATTTATACATAAATAATGTTCTGTTTATAGAAACAAATAAATATATCATATATATATATGTTTAAAAAAATCTTTGTTCCAGAAATATCTGCATGAATCTCGACACAAACATGCCATGAATAGAAGTCGGGGCGATGGTGGACGTTTCTACTCGCTAATCAAGCAAGAACCGGATGATCATCAAGAATTTAAACAAGAACCTGAGGTAAGTACATAATAACTGCCCATGTTATGTAACATAATGAACTGTTTTTTCTGTGGACTTTTTGCCAGTAATTTGTCCCATTCCTAATAGAAACTGGAAAACCTGGAATGACAACTCTGGGTATGTATTATTGCTGATTGTTTGAAGCCAAAGGTTGCCAAAACTACACAAAGAACATATTCCTTTATCCTTAAAGTCTGCATACATAATATTTTAGTGGAATGTATTTTTAACAGGAAAGACATTAAAAGTTACTACAGCTCTTGAAAGTCCTTGTCAAGACTTGCAAGAAAACAGAACACCATTTCTGTTTCTGTTTATCCTTTGCCTTTCTGGCCAAACTGGATAATTAAGACCTGTGAAGTGTTTTGTTATAGGGATTATACTGTAATATGGGTCTATGTGTGTCCAACTAGCACTGATATTCTACACAAGTTTCCCAGCTTACTTCTGTTAGATTGCAGTAAGGATTTAGTGAAACGTTGTGCACTTTTACTGTATGCAAGTTAGTTGTTAATTTATTGTTAGATTACAGTAAGGATTTAGTGAAACGTTGTGCACTTTTTTCTGTTTGCAAGTTAGTTGTTAATTTATTGTAAGATTACAGTAAGGATTTAGTGAAACGTTGTACACTTTTTCTGTATGCAAGTCAGTTGTTAATTTATTGTTAGATTACAGTAAGGATTTAGTGAAACGTTGTACACTTTTTCTGTATGCAAGTCAGTTGTTAATTTATTGTTAGATTACAGTAAGGATTTAGTTAAACGTTGTGCATTTTTTTTGTATGCAAATTAGTTGTTAATTTATTGTTAGATTACAGTAAGGATTTAGTGAAACGTTGTACACTTTTTCTGTATGCAAGGTAGTTGTTAATTTATGGGGATTTTTGACAGAGTTAACCTCTTTATAAAAAATAAAACATATCCAGACTTCCTTTTTTCTCTGGTTTCAATGAAACTTTGTCAAGTTAGGAAGGTAGCTGCTATTTATATTAAATTTTAACTTTATTTCCTTTTTTTTGTAGAGTTATGTCCCTTTCCTTAAGAAAAATCATGTTCCGTCTACATTTTTCTGCTTTAAGTGAAACTTTGTCGGTATGAAAGGTAGTTGTCAATTATGCAATTCATGGTGAAGTTAGTCTATTACAACCAAAACTTTGTCCTAAAAATGTTCCGTCTAATAAGTAAGCCTGCAGCTGACAGTTCTAGTTTTGTGAGGGTTTTACTTTCTCTGTATTTATGGTCTCAATGCCACCATACTGAAATAAAATGTGACAGGTGATGTAGCCAAAAATATAGACACCACAAATAAGGTGTTAGTGCAACATTATGAAAGTTTCACCGTGACATTTAGCTCATTCACCCCTGAAAACACATTTGAACTCTTCTAATTCAAAGATTGGATTAGTTCATTATGAAACTTCAAGGGTGAATGAGTTAAGGTGTGTTGTAAAGTAAAAAGGTTGATACTACAACTGTATGCAGAAACTGGAAAATGGACATCAGCTTTGCTTTCTCTTCCTTTTTAGGATTATCCTGACGAAGTCCACCCAGACATGGCCGAGTTCCTCAGGCAGGCTCGTCACCATACACCTGTGCCAATCGCAGCAAAACGAGGAACCTGATGAAACATGCCATTACACTTGAGAATATCAACTAACACTAGCTACAGGTGTGCTTACCAATTAACTGGCTGGACCAGTTGATCTAATATGGTCCGTACCTGTCAAATATGCCTGCTTACCACTAAGCTTGCTGGACTGGTCAGTAATCAGATTCGGACCAGCATGTTCTGTGAATGGTACCAAGGTGGACAAGTCAACCTTGTTTGCTTGCCATTTATATAGCTCTACCAGTCGTACTGATGTCTTCTGTAAATGGTCCTCTCAAGCTATGGTACCCGCCCGTCAAGCCAAACAATGGCCATAACCTACGCAAGTACTTCAGATGTGACCAGTCAAAATGAAAGGAAACTGTCAAGTAGGGTTATAATGACAATCTTGAATGATCACTGCACAGAAAACCAAGTAATAAGTACATCAATAAGACAATTTATTGAGATGAAGAATTGGATTTCTTGCCATCAGGAATGGGATCCAATGATTACAGAGTACTTGTAGTACTTTGTATATGGTTCACATCACAAAACACAAACAGGATCCTGTATTGTATGGAAACAATAGCAGCATAAGACCTGACATTCAGGTTACTGAAATGACACCAACTTACTGCATTTAAAATTAAATTTACATGTGTTTGTATGTTTTTACTATGCAACACTGGTACATAAATGCAATTAAAATAGTGTTTGTAACAGAACGGATCACCTAGTTAGAAAGTGCCATTCATGTTCATATTTCTGTAAAGAAATTTATTGGACATATTTGATGATGCAAATGACAGCATTCGTTTGATTTTGAACTGTTATTGTACCTGTTTAAGACAAGCTACTTTATGTACCTGTTTTAAGATTGTTTAACTTGATATGTTGTTGATATACATTATGAGATAGACCAGTCCCAAAGTTATTCGACATGAATGTGTCGGGACAAACATCTTTGCCAAACATTTAATCTAAAAAAATTAACTAATTATTTTTATTAAGGATCCTGTACCACTGCCAACAACCTGCAACTATGAATAAGATTTCTTAACCGCATAACCAAAATTTTAATATATCATTTCTGAAAAGAAACAAAAAACTTAAAAGTGTATAAAGATGGACGGGAAAAAAATAATGAATAAACAGCAGTGTTCTGAAAGCATTCTATAAATGCAACAAGGTTTGACCAAGATTTAAACCCTGGACCTCAGATCTCAATATAGTCACGATGATCACTCTACCTGAGCAGTGGGAAATCCCTTGCCCAGTCCTACAACAGTTAGAGAAAAAGTGATTTTAAGGGGAGGTTTCTCTGCATATTATTCAATCTACAGTGGAATTCCTAAGTGTTTCTCCTGCAGTTGGACATGGATCCTTAAACTGACTTAAGTGTTTCTCCTGCAGTGGGACATGGATCCTTAAACTGACTTAAGTGTTTCTCCTGCAGTGGGACATGGATCCTTAAACTGACACTGCCTATTAAGGATGAATGCCATTGTATTTTTTTTTAAATAGGATGAAATTGATGACTTTTGGTTTTATTGAAGTGTATGTTTAATTGTTGGTTGGTGTATTTATACCAGGGTATATTTATACTATGAAGTATTTTGTTCTAGTGACTTTTTTAGTGCTGGGTAATTTTTCAAATAAATTGAAAATCAGAGGTTTTACAAACTTGGATTGCATACTGATTATGGAAATATACACTAAAAGCTTAAGTGTATAATGATCTTTGTTTTATGCAATTCTAAATTCAATATTTCATTTCGTTTTTATTTTTTGCCCGTACATGTATTATACTGACTATTTGAATCGGAAAGTAAATCAATAGACAAATCTTTTTATTGAATTGTTAACATTTTAAGTTCAGATTTTCATTTTTTTTTTTTCCATACAGCATAATATATCTTTGCTCTCAAAAATGAAGCTTTTGATCTGAAAATATGATATAAAATTATTGTAAAGGACAGTTCAGACATACCTGCTATTTACTGGTAGTATATCTTGCTGTCAACATTTATAAACACGTTATATTTTCCTGTTAGTGGCTGTTACCATCAACATTTGGACAAGTCCTGTCTTCAGCCCAAATTGTCTTTTAAATGATCGCTAAAACACATTTACAATGAAAATCTCTATTCCTTTACTATTTTGTGGAAACGCTCATCTTTTATATTAAGTTATTACTAACAAATCTCAATCTGGTAAAATTGCAAATATTTTATATCTTTGGATGAAATTACTGCTACCAACAGAATTTTATCTCACACTTTGTTATATTATTTTACTCCAACACTGCAATATACATTTTTTTCATTAAATGCAATATTTCTAATGCAACTAGCTAAAAACTTTTAAGACAAAATGAAGACTTGAGTCGTAACATATAGTTACATGTGCAGAAAGCTTGCGTCTGATATCATGAATCTTGTAATGTAGGACTGGTAGATAGATTTAGCTTTAAAAATAATTTTAAATGTGCTATATTGATTTTTTTTTTATCCCCTGTTCAATTTATCATTTTGTGGAAGCTCTCGTCTTTTTATAAAGTCATTACATGTACTTACAAATCTTAATCTTGTAGACTACAAATTGCAAATATGTTATATCTTTGGATGAAGTTACTGCTACCAACATAATTTAATCTCATACTTTGTATATATCAATGAAAAGGTGATAGAGAGAAATAAATACCAGAAAGCAATGTATTTTTGTATGAGCGTACAATTTATTATCGCATGATTTCAGTCTGTTTGAAATAAGAGTGGAAGCAAAACACACGATATACAAGTAAATGCTAATTTCAGCTTTCACATCCTGCAGTGTTGTATTTGTGGAGATAAAATGTGGAGCTGTTGATCTGATGTTTCAGAATTGTTTTGTAATGTGTACATCTTTTTCCTGTATACGTAACTGTCTGCTGTTCTGAGGATTTCTGAGATTCAATGTTTCATGAAAGTTTCTCAAACGCAAAAATGACCCTGTATATATAGAAATAACATGGGTTATGTTTCCAAAAAGAAAATGTTACGATATAAGTAAAAAATATTCCTTACAACAGACTAAATATGCTCTAAGAAGAGAAAAGTTTATTGTACTTTAATCCCGGGAGTCTAATCCTCAGAGAGGGGGAACAATAAGTAAAACATAGTCCTTACAACAGACTAGATATGCTCTAAGAAGAGCAACGTTTATTGTATTTTAATCCCGGGGTTCTAATCCTTAGAGAGGGGGAACAATAAGCACTGCGCTTGTTACAGAATTTAACAGAATTGTGACATCAGTTTATCAAAAGGTGGGCTTATTACCAAGCATATCACAGATAAAATACAGCACATAATTAAATATTAGGTATCCGACAGTTTAAAAAAAAAAACTGTGTTTGCAGACAATGCTTGTTAGAAAGGGGAGGTAAATCTGTTTTAGATCTGTTGCTGCACTTAAGTAAAAATATTTCATCCATGTGATAGGATCTGGATGAAAATGTCAATGTTTTGTATCTCATTTAGAAGTTTCATTACTAGTATGGGATGTGTACGTGTGTATAATTAGGTCTTGAACAAGTTTTTTGTGATATTTATGTAAGTGTCTTGTTTGTAAAATATCTGTATATGTAAATTTTGTTAAATGTCTTTTTCACCTTTTTCTGAAATCCATTACGTACATGTATAACTGATATATTTTTCATAATGATTAGTGCTCAATTGTTGGATCTACTGTGCAATTTAGCATAGCTGCTTACTGTGGCTAAATTTCAACCAAACCCTAGGAATTGTAAACGGGGAACTATCTCGCACACAAAAAAATCCTTGACTTCTTGCGATGATTGTTAACCCATTCACCCCTAAAGTCACATTTGAACCTTACCAAATCATAGGCTGGGCAAGTCTACTTTAAATAATGAGGGGTGAATGAGTTAACTGTATTGTAATAGATGCAGATGTTCATTGTCAATAATTTCTGATGAATTCTTTATAATCAAATCCTTTTGAAGAAATTTATGAAAATTATTTATGTAGTTTGTACAAAAAAACGTTCTTGTTAAACATTAGAATGACAATTGATATCCCCGTCCTCCTGAACTAAACAATGTCAAAATTGATGAGTGAACTGGATGTGTTATTGCAGCTATCTTCATTCATGAAAAAGTTAAAGCCCGGTGAAATTCAGAACAATTACGACACTTGAACATACCTGCGTTATATGTTATTTTTTCAAAATACTGTTTACCAGGAAACTTTCTCCCTGTCAAATATTCACCTTTCACTAGTAAAATCACTATTTACCCGGTGTTAACTTCGCTATTCACATGTAAAAACTAGATATGGTATATTGTGTACTTATATTTCCTATCAGGATAAATTGCGGAGGGTAAAAAGTCGGAAAAATAAAAAGCAGTGAAAATGTTCCGGTATTCAGTGACGAGACTCAATGGAAAGACTCTGTAAAATGAATGTATGTATACAGTATGTTCCAGCTATGACGGTTGGCACTTCACTGTATGATCAAAGTATACTGTCTGCTGCTTGGAAGTTTGTGAGTGAGAAATTGTTTGTTGTCAAATTTATATATAGATTACAACACTGATGTGAGAGATATATGTGAGATGCAAGTACAATTGATAAGTTTGTGGAGATGTATGTTCACAGTTGGCTCATCTCTGAATAAGAAACAAAATATTTAAGCATTTCACCCGAATTCACTTATAAAACACATTATAAGTTAACAAAGTCAAAAGACTTGTTTTACTAGTTGTTTATGATATTGATGTTGTCCTTGATTTGTTTGTTGTAGCAAAACAAAAATGTTTGTTGTGTTTGTATTTATTTTTTATGTCGAAAGTGTAATTTTATACAGTATCTTGATCCTTTACACGTAAAGGTACAATGATTTACATTTTCTCACAACTTTTAAATTATACTTAATCTTTCTTTATAAGTTAGATATTGATATAAGTACAGATTAGACATGTTCAGCTTTTGTCTGATACCAGAGTTCACTGCAAAGCAGTACATTGTATTCTCAAATATTAGCCATGGTCTCTGTATCTGTCTGTCTGTCTGTCTGTTTGTTTGTTCACTATGTTCGTTCACTATATGTCTATCCAGTTTTTCATTAGCTAGTAGTATTTGGAATAAGATCTTACAACTGCCAGTATAGTATTGTGGTTTCACCACTTTGGAGGAAACTAATAAATCTTGAATTTACATGATAAGTCATTCACCCCTGAAATTTCATAATGAACTATTCCTACTTTTGAATTGGAAGAGTTCAAATGTGTCTTCAGGGGTGAGTTGATAAAAAAAAGTTTAAAAAAATAAAAATGAGTTAATAAAAAAAAGTATTAACTTTGCTCTTGCCAGATATTTGCAAAATACAAAACTGGGGGTCTATGTTCGATATAATCATTGGACAGCAGTCTATGTATCGTAAATCTATTGTGTTGTTAGACACCACAGAGGCCTGATATCAATGATTCCTTTTCTTTGTACTGTTCTAGGCTATAGTAACCACTGTATATTTGTACTATAGCTACATTTTGTTAGGGGTACATGTAGTATATGTTCGTCTCTTCTGTCTGTTTGTTAATGATTGTCATCTCTAAAGAAGCTTAAGGCATTCGTTTAATTTTTCCAAACTTGTTACACGACTGAAGGTCAAGGTCAGCTCACTAAAGGTCAAAGTCACTTATGTTAATTAGAAAACTTTAGAATGATAATTATTGAAGTCTGATATACAATTGCTAATGCATCACTTGGAACAGTACCAGTGTATGAAACTAGACCTGAATTTCCTGGATAAGCCTTTCTCACCACTGTCGATGTGTAATAAATCAAGTGAATATAATTAGGGGCAACGGGAGGGTGGGGAATGAGTTGGCTGCCTCCTCTCCTCTGTATCAAATTTGATTAAGTTGGGAGGGAGGAATCAATTCCCAAATGTCCCTCTAAACATAATATAATTGGTTAATTAGGTGGAGTAGGGGAATAAATTTGTGTCCTTCTCCCATTTAAAAGGAATATAATAAGGTAACATATTAGGAAATGAATCAAACATTTACTTTTGAAAGTATTTTAAAACTGTAAAATTATTTTCAACTTTTTAAACAAAGGGAGGATGAATTTTATCTTGATCAGCCCCATCTTTATATGTCTGTACTTTTAAACAGCAATCATAACTTCATATCATATAATCATATAACTGCCACCTGGTAAAATATTAGCCACTTCCTATCGACTCCTTACAGAGACTTTCTCTTTAACTCATTCAGTAGAGCTTCGGAGTAATAAACCAGAGGTCCTGGATTTAAGCACTAGTGAAGGCATTTAATGAACTCTATTAAATAATGTTTTGCTGGCAGTTGAGTGACATAAGATTTAGGTAAAACTGAGGTAGGTCAGTGTTTTTTGTATGGATATACAGACTAGAGAGCAGAGTATAGTTTATAATCATGTCTTGTGTAAATGTTTCCCACCGACGAGAAATTAGAATGTATGAAA